GGTGAAAGCAGTCTTGAGCTGTTTGACAGCTTCACATGTCCAAACAAATTTGACGTCGTTGTGGAGGAGATTGGTCATGGGGGCTATTTACACTGAGAAGCCTGGAAGGAACAGTCAGTAAAAATCCTCTTTTCAGGGAGATGGGGTCTCAGGCTTGAGAGTGACTTCTTCTGGCTAGCCACCGTCATCTGGAGTTCCACCGCAGGTGCTGCTTGGGGATCTATTTTGATGCCCTCTGGGGAAAGGATGTAATCCAAGAATTCTGTGGTGTACTGGTCAAAGGTACATTTTTCCAATTACATTTTTCCAATTTCACAAACAGGCCATGCTTCCATAGTCTTTCCAAGATAGAATGAACATGGTAACAATTCTGCTGAGGATTATCTGAAAAACACAGGTATGTTATTGATATAGATGACTACATACTGTCCAGGATGTCTCTAAATACATTGTTCACAAAACGTTGAAAGACTGCAGGAGCATTGGTCAGCCTGACTGGCATTACAACATTTTCAAAGTGCCGATAGCAGGTTTGAAAGACTGTCTTCCATTCATCTCCTGCCCTGATGCACACTACGCTGTAAGTGCCCCAGAGATCCAGTTTCATGAAAATTCTGGCAGACTGCACATGATAGAGTACAGGCTTTGGGGTGGGGCCGGGCATAAGGGGCTTGGGGTGCAGGGGGGGGCTCGGGGCTGGGGTAGGGGGGTTGGGGATCAGGCTTACCTCGGTCGGCTCCCGGTCAGCAGCACAGCGGGGGGGGGGGGTTAAGGCAGGCTTGCTGCCTGTCCTGACTCTGCGCTGTGCCCCAGCAGCGGCCAGCAGGACAGGTCCGGCTCCTAGGTGGAGGCGCAGCAGGCGGCTCTGCGCGCTTCTCTCTCCTGCAGGCACTGTGCCTGCAGCTCCCATTGGTTCCGGCCAATGGGAGTGCGGAGCCGCTGCTCGGGGCGGGGGCAGCGCGTGGAGCCATGGCAACCCCACAGAGTTAAACAGGGTGGCTGACCAATCAGAGGGCTGCAGGATACTGTCACTCTGGCTCCCTGGGGCAGTACTTCCTGCAAAGCCTATTCTCCACAGTGTGCCCTTGGTGTGGCTCTGCATAGCCTCCTGGTGGCACTGTGGGAATGGCAGCTGTCCCAGGCTCTGCAGACCTGCATTCTAGTTCCTTGCATCCTTACAATCATCAAGTTGTTTCATATTAGGCTAAATAATGTATCTGAGAGGGAAATGATTGAGAAATAGCTCATTGTGACATAAGAACAGGAATATAACTAGTATTTGCAACAAAATTAACTATTGTATAAAACTGTCATTAAATACAATACTAAAATATATAGAATTTTCTCAACCTTATGTAATCTAAAATGGAAATACCTGTGTGAGATTCTCAAGAGTTTAATCAAGCTCTGATTCCTAAAACAGTTTGCAGGACAATAAGAATGTGTAGAAAACAGTAAGATAACAATTGAGCACCCAATAGATAAGAGGTGGACAAACTACGGCCCACGGGCCACATACAGCCCGCAGGACCCTCCTGCCCGGCTCCTGAGCTCCCGGCAGGGGAGGCTAGCCCCCGGCCACTCCCCCACTGTCCCCTCCCTCCCCCACAGCCTCAGCTCGCTCCGCTGCCGGCGCAATGCTCTGGGTGGCGGGGCTGTGAGCTTCTGGGGCAGCGCAGCTGCAGAGCCTGGCCTGACCCGATGCTCTGTGCTGTGCGGTGGCATGGCTGGCTCCAGCCAAGAGGTGCGGCTGTAGCGCTGCCAGCCACCGGTGCTCCAGGCAGCGTGGTAAGGGGGCAGGGAGCAGGGGGGGTTGGATAGAGGGCAGGGGAGTTTGGGGAGGTGGGCAAGGGGCGGGGGTGTGGATAGGGGTTGGGGCGGTCAGAGAGTGGGGAACAGGGGGGTTGAATGGGGGCAGGGGTCCCAGGGGGCCCATCAGGAATGAGAGGAGGGGTTGAATGGGGGGGGCAGTCAGGGGCAGGGGTTCCGGAGGCAGTCAGGGGACAGGGAGAAGGGGTGGTTGGATGACTTTATTTTGAGGATGAGGCAGAGGTGAAAGTAACCCGGTACGTCCCAGTATGGCGTACCGGCAAGAGCCTGTGCGCCGTAGCGGCGCGGATCGGCTTCCCCTGGCAGCAATTTAAAGGGCCTGGGGCTCTCAGCAGTGGCTGGAGCCCTGGGCCTTTAAATTGTCGCCAGAGCCCTGCTGCCGGAGCCCTGGGGAAGTGGCGGGGCTCAGGCGGCGATATAAAGGGCCCGGGGCGCCTGCCGCAGCTACCGCCCCGGGCCCTTTAAATAGTCCCCGGAGCCCCGGGGTAGCAGTGGCAGAGCTCCAGCGGCTATTTAAAGGATCCAGGGCTGCGGCAGCCACTACAGCCCTGGCCCTCAAAACAGCCGCCAGAGACCCGCCGCCGCCTCCCCAGGACTCCGGCAGCAGAGCTCTGGGGCTGATTTAAAGGGTCCGGGGCTGATTTAAAGGGGCCTTTAAAATCGCTGCTACCGCCCCGGGCCCTTTAAAATCAGCCCCAGAGCCTGCCGGAGCCCTGGGGTAGTGGTGGCGGGGCTCCGGCGGCGATTTAAAGGGCCAGGGACTTGGCCACCACTACAGCCCCGGGCCCTTTAACTTGCCACCGGAGCACCATCGCCGCTACCCCAGGGCTCCAGCAGCAGGGCTCCGAGGACAATTTAAAGGGCCCAGGGTGGTAGCAGCTACTGGAGCCCCGGGCCCTTTAAATCACCGCCTGAGATCCTGGCTGCTGCTGCTACCCCGGGGCTCCAGCAGCGTGGCTCGGGTGGCGATTTAAAGGGCTCAGGGCTCCCACTGCTGCTACCCTCTGGGGCCCTTTAAATCGCCATCCAAGCCCTGCTGCTGGAGCCCTGGGGTAGCGGCAGCAGGGCTCTGGTGGTGATTTAAAGGGCCAGGGGCTCCTGGCTGCCGCTACTGCAGTGGAGCCCCAGGCCCTTTAAAGCTCCACCAGAGGCCGGGGCCCCCTCTGATGGTGATTTAAAGTGCCCGGGGCTCCGCTGTGGTAGTAGCAGCTGGAACCCCGGGCCCTTTAAATCATCCCCGGGGCTCCTAGCCGCCTCTGCAGCTGGTAGCTCCGGGGGTGATTTAAAGGGCCCGGGGCTTCCAGCTGCTGCTACCACAGCCCCAGCCTCAGGTCCTTTAAATCCTGATTTAAAGTGCCCGGGTATTTAAAGGCCCCGCCTCTTCCAGTAGAGGCCCCACCCCTCCTAAGGACTCCGGAGTACTGGTAAATCCTTTAAGTTACTTTCACCCCTGGGATGGGGACTGACTATTGCTGGGGATGAAGTTTTGTGGTGGTTTGGCTGCTTTTATTTTGATTAAGTGTATTTTAGTGGGTGTTAAAAGCATCTAGAAGTAACAGAGAGGTTTTAAAATATATTTATAAAAATCTAAAATAAAATACAGTATATTATATTTTTGTGTATATTTGCTCTACGTTTATACATTTAGATGCTATGTTTCTTCAGTCATCAGGCTAGTGTCAGGCTAAATGTCATGTCTATTTCATAAGTTATCAGGGCTAGACTGTTGGACATGTGTCTGTTGTACACCAGATGGTGTAGCTGTCACCAGCATAACTGGAGGCTATAATTTAGTGTGGAGCGGTTTTACACCCCACCACCTGTTCTACAAAAAGCATGATTTAAATGGTATCAGGACAAACAAAGAGACTAATGGGCAAAGGGACTCTCTATATTCCCTATTATATGCAAGTACAGCCTTAAAGTCTAAGTTTGACTTTCTATTAATTATAGCCCCAGGACTTACTGCTATTGGCCACTCAATGGTTACATGCAATGGAGTGTTTTTGCTCCAAATGCCAAAGATGTAGCTTTTGCCCAATATACTGAGCTACAGTGACAATGGTAACATACAAAAACCAGTAAGTGAACACTTCAATCTCCCTGGTCATTCTATTACAGATTTGAAAGTCACTATCATTGAACAAAAAAACTTCAGAAACAGACTTCAAAGAGAAACAGCTGAACTAAAATTCATTTGCAAATTCAACACCATTAATCTGGGCTTGAATAGGGACTGGGAGTGGCTGGCTCATTACAGAAGCAGCTTTTCCTCTCCTGGAATTGACACCTCCTCATCTATTATTGGGAGTGGACTACATCCACCCTGATTGAATTGGCCCTGTCAACACTGGTTCTCCACTTGCGAAGTAACTCCCTGCTCTCCATGTGTCAGTATATAATGCCTGCATCTGTAACTTTCACTCTATGCATCCGAAGAAGTGAGGTTTTTACCCACGAAAGCTTATGCCCAAATAAATCTGCTAGTCTTTAAGGTGCCACCAGACTCCTTGTTGTTTTTATAGAAACAGACTAACACGGCTACCCCCGATAGTAAGAACCAGAGGGGCACCAGTCTCTCTACCCCAGCTGTCGTTTCTGAGGGTTTAAAACAACCAAGGGACACTGGGGTGACCTGTATGTGTTTTGCTGGATCAGGCCAGAGCACCAGTGCGGGCAGCCCCCTGACCGGACTGGTGGGTTTATCATGGATTTCCGCAACTGACAGGAGCGTCCCAGGCAGCCGGGGCCGTTAGGCCGGGCGGCCCTAGCGTCAGCCACGCACAATACGTGCCTGAACCCACTGACGGCAACAGAAATCCGGCCCTGCTCACGTGACACCCTCACGCTAACTGCCCGTTCACTACCCGCCTTCCCGGCCCGGGCAGCATCGCTGGCCAATCAGCGGGCGGAAGCAGTCCTACCCACGGGGCACGCGATGCCGATCAGAGACTGGCAGAGCGCTCCACTCCCAGACGGGAGGCGCCCTAGCAGCGGCAGCTCGCCGATGGGGGAGGCAGTTACCTGTGAGCCCCGCCCCGCGTTAATTGCGCACATAGTGATTGGCTGCGCTACGAAACGGCTATCCAATGATAGGATGCTTTACAAAAGTACTCAGAACCAATCTCAGAGATTTTGGCTTTTACCGACGGCAGTTTGAAACTGTCAAGCTCCCGAGTCTGCCGGGGCCGCACCGGGGGAGGCTGAGCCCATAGGCGGGGGGCTGCGCAGGTATGGGGAGCTCGCGGGGGTCCTGCAGGGGAGACTGAGTCCCTGCCAGCCTTCCTGAGGGAGAAGGGGCGGGTGCACATCATACAGTGGAGAGTCTCCATAGTTCTATTCCCGCCCCCGGCTACTGCCCTACAGCCACGGCTCCTAATTCCCAGCCCGTCCTATAGCCACGGCCTCTCCTGTCCTTTGGGCCTCCCGCCCCATAGCCACGGGCCCTTCTGCCTCGCCCCTTCCCCATAGACACGGCCCCAACTGCTCCTCTGCCTCCTCGAATGGCCTCTGGCCCTGTGTCTCGCTGCCCCATAACCACAGCTGCCACTGCCCCTCTGCCTTCCCCCCCGCAACCTGGCCCCCACTGACCCATAGCTCCTACTGATCCCCTTCCATCCCCCATAATTGTAGCCCCCACTAACCATCCTGCCTCATAACCCTTGTGGCCCCTCTGCTCCAACATCTACAGTCCTTGCTGAACTTCCCCACGTGCCCATTATTCACAACCCCCACTGAACCCAGCCCCATGTATGGTTATACATGAACACAATTAGCGTATTTGTAATTTTATCTGAACTTCTATGTCCATTTGTGACTTGGAGACTTTCATTGAAATCCTAACACTCCCCCCTGCATACCTGTGCATAGATGAGTCTCCCCCTGGATTCCACACTCCTATCACTCCTTCAGTTTTGTCAAATCCCCCACATTATTATCTATGACCTTATACAGTTAGCTTTGTGGGTAGCACTTGCAATTATTAGCAGTGCCCTCAACATGACTACTTGTGGAGTTATCCATGGCCCTCACTGAACATGTGATCTTCCACCCCATATTTCAATACAGTAATAATCCCCTTCCCCGGTGGGAGTCATTAACCTGTTTTCTCAGTTTTTTGTTCCTGTCTTCCCCATTCCCCAGAGACTTTTGAAGACTCAATTGCTCCTCCCAATCTGCACATCTCAGCAGTATTATTGTTCAGTCTGACCTTGCTCTCACTAGTGCCCTTTGTAGCAGTTGTTCACCCACCATTGGAGCAACTCTACTGGTGGTACTAATGGTGGAAGCTGTAGAGTGACCGTTACTTGGAAAGTCCAAATACAAAACTTAATAGTATAGATATAACCTGTGTTTGCAAACTCAGGTGAGGTAAGGGGGGCGGGGGGAAGATGAGGTGAACCCTGGCTTATATAGAGAGAGGACAGATTTTCTTTTCTAACCTACAGAAAGATGCCCCTGCTAAGAGCTGTGTCAATACCAGGTTATTTGCAACATACTACGCTTACCAAAGAAAAGTAAACATTGAACTGATCTCAGATCCTCACTTAAAGTCAAGTGCTTTGCCCACTGAAATCAAAACAAATAAGTTACACTCTGCCCTAATTGGACCTTGATTTCTGAAAATAGTGATCTCAATGCAGTAAGCCAGTCTTCCTGTTTTGTTTTAGTGTGGGTTTCTGTTGTGAAATCTATTCTTCTGGATATAAACTGAGAGAATTCCAAAATTTAAGACATACTGGATTTTTTTCTTTCAAATAAAGACCCAAACCTGAAACTGACAAATCTTGCAATTGTTTTAGTTGCACAACAAAATGCACAGTGAAGAAATATGAAGTGTTTTAGCAAATACTTGAAATTTCACTCTGTGTGGGTGTATTTTATATATATAATATATATATATATATATATATATATATATATAAAAAAATAAACAGCTATTATATAGCTTATGGCACATTGAGCACTAGCATTAATTGGAGACTCAGCAGTCCTGTCTCTTTGAGTTTGGACCAGAAACAATCACAGCCTTTAAATTGCCTTTGAAGCATTTTTAAAATGTCAATTTCTCTGTTCTGAGAGTAACTTTCCCTTCCCCAAGTCATGGATAATTCAAAGGCAGGACATGCTGCATCTCCTGTCTTTGAAGTATCTACAACAGTCACCCTGAGCACTGAGAAACCAAAAGTGTGAATTTCAGCAAAGGATTAAGCATCCTAGGGCGTCCAGTCTCTCTAACAGATTTTAAATGAGTTAAAACGAATTCAAAAGCATAGTTGGGAAAGTAGCTTAAAGCTTTTCTTTATCTTTTTACATGACTGTATTGATCTTGGAGGCTATTGTAGCTAACTTGTTCTGATGTCTGTGTGTGCTATCCTCCACAAATATGAGTTTGGGCCCTGACAGCATGCCTGCGCATCACTGAATTTAGTGGAGCTCTGTGTGAGTGCAAGGGTGTGCCCATCTAGAGTCAGTTGCAGGATTGGGGCCTGGAATTATTAACTAAGGTGTGCTCCCATTTTTAAATTCATTTTATAAAGTGAACTATTGTAGCATTGCTCTCTGCAATGTGTAAAGCCCTGACAACATTTACATCAAATGACTGGATTTATGGGTTTATTGGCTGTGTAAAAGTTCAGTCTGGTGAAATCTTTGCATACATGATTTCTGCCTACATAGTTTTCTTCCGCACACCAGAAAATTAGGAAAGTTACTTAAATTCTGCAAGTATTGAAAGTAAAAAACAACTATACTAGAGGCAAAAAGTTTATGTAGTGCAAGAACGGCCTCTTTTGTTGTTTTTTTGTTTTTTTGTTCCCCCCCCCCCCCACACACAAACCCAAATAAACCCTGAAACTATTTAAGCGATACTGGATGATCAATTAGCCTGAGTAATGGAGTCTCCCCACTCTTAACGTGCAAACACAACTTCCATCCACATTACTACACATAACTAGGGGAATAAGACACTACCTATTGCTTGTCATTTTGAAAACTAGAATGGATATACAGATACTTAAAGATGGTTACTTTCTGCCAATTTAATGATAAAATTTAAAGGAATACTGGCAAATTAAAAATTATACTTCTATCAGAAAATATCTATTTCAGTTTTCTTTTTGTACTTTATTTCACTTGTATAGACAGCCAGTTTCTTCTGTTGTCTGTGTAGGTCTTTTTATACACAACCCTTTCCCCTGCCTATAAAACAACTTGCATGAATGTACTCTAGACAAAACTTTCCTGTTCTCTTTTGCTCAGACACAGCTAATACCTGTTCCTCACCTTCACACCAGATAACCATACCACCCTGTCATACACTCTCTAATCAGTCCTCCTAGCTCACAAATTCATACTTGACTCAATCATCATTTGTTTATTCACCCATTCTCTTCCGCATACCCTAAAATTAATCAGTTTTCTTCTGTGCCCCACAAAATCTACTGCCTTCCAGCAGGGACGTCAGCACCTTTCTTCCTGTTGGGCCTCAAGTCCTTTGACTGCTCCACGTCCCAGGTCCCTACATAGGGTCTATCCTACCCAACTCCCTTGTTTAGGGAAGCGCCACAATCATTTGTTGTAACTAGAAAATTAAGTCCAGCTTCTGCTATTTTATAGAATTGTCTTTGTGCAGAATGTCATCAGATGAGGAGAAAAGCTCAAGTCCAGTTTTGCCAAAAGACTCAGATCGAGGCAGTTCTGTCTCTTCAGATCTTCAGGTAGGACAGAAGCAACTGCATTTGAACCTCTTTTACAGCATTTTATTTGACAAAGTGTAACTGTGAAGAAATGCTGTGGATAACTTTTTTCATCTTTTTAATTTTTATTTATTTTAGGCATACAATAGAGAAATAAAAATGTTAATGGAAGGAAGCAAAATAGAGAATACAAGCAAAATTTGAGTTTTTAATAAGCAAATAGCCACATTGCTAATTTTTGCTTAGTAAAGATTCAAACTTGATGTAACTGCACACAAAAAAAAATAATATATGGAGCATGTGTCTTGACTAAGCTTAAGAGACAGCACATTAATCCCAAAAGTAGAAAAGTGCTGCTTTCTTACAGCTGTTCTTACAGGTGTGAATTACCAAATTAAAACAATAAAACTGCTATTAAGGATAGAAAGCATCATTCTGCCTTTTGACTCTAGTGGCTAACCAATATTCAAGATCTTGAATGTTATTTACATTAGGAGGAAAAAACGATGCTAGTAGTTTCTTTGGTGCAATCCTGTTTATTTACAAAGATGTACATAGTCCCGTTTCCTTGAACACAATAGGAATCAAACAGAAGGCAGTTTCTTTGCTCGATATTCCAAGCCTCTTTTTCCAGCCAGCGCTCTACCCAGAAAGTTCTCTTTGCTTTTTTTCTCGCCAGTGTCATGCTGCAAGTACTTCTCTGGCTGTCCTTAACTTTCTGCTGCCTTATCCTTCTTTGATATTTATCTGTGTCTGCCCAGCTCCCATGCCCCCCAAAATACCCAGTCTTCTGCATTTGCATTCTTCCCCCAGTGAAGCCTCTCTGCCCCCATAGCTTAGTTCGTGACTAGCCTTGCCTCTGGCATGTCTTTTGGATGGTTGTTCTTATTATTTCAGCTATATGCTTTCCTGGGTCTGAGGCGGCTGGAGCACTATTTCCTCCCTTAGCCTCTCTGGTACACTTCCTGTGCAGTTTCTGCTACCCCTTCATGGAAATGGAGTCCTGCATCCCACTTGCCTCAGGCCCCAAAGACCAGCACTGACCCATACGATATCCTAGTAACTCAAATATACCCTTTCCCAGAACTCCGCCCAAATCGTTGAGTCTTCCAGTTTCCTTCTTCAACAGGCCAAATGGTAGGTGTGGCATGTAACAGACACTTTGCTCAATATTCTAACACCATTGCACTCTGGTTAACAATTAATGCACAAGAGAACATATCATTTAGAAAACAGCTAACATCCTAAATGAGATGCTGCTCACTAGCTCATCCTTCCCTTGGGAGTCTTTGGGGTCCATCTGTGTTCAGCAAGGCAGGGTTCTTCATACCTTATTAGGCTCCTACATGCAAATCTTTTCAGCCTGAGCTGGTGAAAAATGATTGAAGAGTTACGGGATCAGCTCCTGTCTTTTTATAACCTTCTAGCCCCTCTGTCATGTGACCTCCTGGCCAGTGCCAACTGTTGATCCTGTTGCTAAGAGGATCTCCCCTTGACAAACTAGTTCTCCAGGTTGAGAGCCTGTCTTCTGGTAGAGCAATTACATTTGAGTGGTCAAATACTTGAGTCAGTGGCCCTATTTTGTTAGCCCTTTGCCACCTACCTTTCGAATTGTAGGCCAACGTGGAGGCAAAAGTGCACAGAGAAGCTGCTATATTCAAAATGTAGTTTGCAGCTTGTTAAAGCTATAGAGAGAGTTAAAAATCACACAAAACTAATAAGCTGTGCAAAAAATCTCAAATCATCATAGGTTATACCCATGGCTGAGGATGGATCAACATTATTTGGAAAGCTTAGAAGAGAATGGTTTGAGCTCTCACCTGGATTTGCAGTATCGCCAGTCTTTTTCATCCACAAGAATTATTTTCATTAAAGAAAATGTATGTTTTGGATGGGTTAAGTTTTTTTTTTTTGTATTCTTAATCTTTCGATCTTTTCAGCACCTATAACATGAGCCCAATACTAACAAAGATTCAACTTTCTCCTTTATTTAGTATAGAGATATTTTCAAAACATGTACCTTCAACCACAAAATAAATTACAATCCCTCTCTTTTTCCTGCTGTACCTTCTGTGGGACAGGATGGCATGAGGATGCATCACTGCTGACCGGGGTGAAATTGTGGCACATTGAAGTCTAGCAGAACTGCCGTTAATGTCTGTTGGGTCAGGATTTCACTCCAGAGGTCTACGGTCTAAAGATGTCAGCCCATTCAGGTGTTACTATACTTCCTCCCCCCACCTTTTTTGTGACTGCTTATTGATATGGTATCTGGGAGGAAGCATGTACACCCTCTCAGAATAGAAAAGGAGGTTGAAAATGACTGGCTTTTGGGAGATTTCAGTACCCACCCAAACCCAGAACTATTTTATGTCTATTCTAATTGGCACATGGTTTCATCCCCTCTAACCTTTCCTTCTTTGTTCACACAAAGATTTTACAATACAAGTGTCCTATCAGAAACCTTAAGTTCCAGAAACCGTATATCCGAACTTGTCTTTAATTGTCCCAAACAATGGATCTTCTATCACATCCCTTGAGAATCTATTCTACAGTCAGCTACATCTCAGTACAGGGGAGTTGAGTCTGATAATGAAAGGACATTTTCTTTTTCTTAATGTAATCCCATTATTTCTAGTTATATATCTGTGTATTGCTCCATCTCCAGAGTTAACATTTTCAAATATTTGTAGACCTAAATTCCTGCTTGGCTGAGTCTGTATTGTTCTGAAACCTTAAAACAGGTCAGCTAGAGAGCTCCCCTGGCTTTACAGTTGATACAGTGTGCTATTGAAGATGTTTGTAAAGCAATTTAAAGGTGAAAGGTGCTGTTTAAGTTTTAAACATTAGTAAATGCAATCTAATGGCACCTCATTCCCTGATCAGAAATCGGACTACAATATAAGCTTGGTCCTTAATGTAGCTCTTGCTTCTTAAAGCCACTAGAAACCACAATTGTTTTATGGAGTTTGAACAGATATTTTCTCTTATAGGAATGTAGCCAAAATAGGCTAATTTTGGCGACAAAAGAAAGTTTTGCCAGTTGGTAGAGAGGCATCCTAGCTTTCAGTCACTCAGTGGAACAAGTGTGTAATGTTGAAGCTCTTTTCTCAGGTTGAGCTGATATGGTTTCTGCCTGTCAGGCATCTATACATTTGTCCCTTTTAATTATAGATTTAGAAGGGATTCATCTTTGCAAGGCATGTGCTTCTTCCCCAAGTATAGTATATATATGGCTATGCCTCTTGTTGAATCCACCATCAGAAAGTCTATCAGCAAGGACAATTCATCCATTTTCCAACACTTAAGTCAGAGGATAAGACAAAGGCATTGCCATATAACAAGCTCTGAAAATAGACAGGATTGTGTCTGCATTAAATTGTTACTGAATATCAGGCAGGTCCTGAGGTCAACATGCAGATCATAATCATCCTTACGGTTGGTTCAAAGTCTAGTCTAGTGTGACATAGTCACTATGGGTCAGATTTACAGAGATACTTAACATCTATATACTGATGCTGCTTTTCTTAGAACTACTAGAGTCTGATTATTTTTTTTAAATCTTGGAATCCTAGAAACAGGACTGGAAGGGATCTGGATAGGTCATCTAGTTCAGTCCTCTGCATTGAGGCAGAACTAAGTATTATCTAGCCCATCCCTGACAGGTGTTTGTCTAACCTGCTCTTAAAAATCTCCACTGATGGAGATCCACAGTCTCTCTAGGTAATTTGTTCCAGTGATTAAGTACCCTGACAGGACGATTTTCCTACTATCTAACCTAAATATCCTTTGCTGCAATTTAAATCCACTACTTCTTGTCCTCTCCTCAATGGATAAGGAGAACAGTTTATCACTCTTCTCTTTATAACAGCTTTTTACATACTTGAAGACTGTTACTATGTACCCCCTCAGTCTTCTCTTTTCCAGATTACACAAACCCATTTTTTTCTATCTTTTAGGTCATGGTTTCTAGACCTATAATCATTTTTGTTGCTCTCCTCTGGTTTTTCTCCAATTTGTCCAAATCTTTCCTGAAGTGTAGTGCCCAGAACTAGACACACTAGTCCAGTTGAAGCCTTATCAGTGCTGAGTAGAATGGAAGAATTAATGTTTGCCTTACAACACTCCTGCTAATACATCCCAGAATGATGTTTGCTTTTTTTTGAAACAGTATTACATTGTTGACTCATATTTAGTTTGACACTATAATCCCCAGATCCTTTTCTACAATACGCCTTCCTAGGCAGTCATTTCCCATTTTGTATTTATGCAATGGATTATTCCTTCCTGAGTGTAGTACTTTGCATTTGTCCGTATTGAATTTCATCTTATTTATTTCAGACCACTTCTCCAGTTTGTAAAGATCATTTTGAATTCTAATCCTGTCCTCCAAAGTGCTTGCACTCCCTCTCAGCTTGGTTTTGTCTACAAACTTTATAAGTGTACTCTTTACATGCAGATATTTAATAGAACCAAGCCCTGGACAGATCCCTGCAGGACCCCACTTGATATGCCATTCCAGCTTGACAGTGAATCACTGATAACTATTTTGAGTTTGGTTTTCCAACCAGTTATGCACCCACCTTATAGTAGGTTTGTCTAGGCTATATTTCCCTAATTTGCTTATGAGAAGGTCATGTGAAACAGTATCAAAGCCTCACTAAAGTTGAGATATATCACATCTACTGCTTCCCTCCATCCACAGGGCTTCTTACCCTGTCAAATAAGGCTATTAGATTGGTTTGACTTGATTTGTTCTTGATGACTCCATGCTGACTGTTACTTATCACCTTATGGCTAGGTGCTTACAAGTTGGTTGTTTAATTATTTGCTCAAATTTCTTTCTGGGTACCAAAGTTAAGATGATGGGTTGATAATTCCCTGGGTTGTTTATATTCCCCTTTGTTTAATAGATAGGTACTATATTTGCCCTTTTTCAGTCCTCTAGTATCACTCCTATCCTCCATGAGTTCTCAAAGATAATCGCTAATGGCTCAGATCTCTTCAGCCAGTTTCTTAAGTATTCTAGGATGTATTCCATCAGGCTCTGTTGACTTGAAAACATCTAGCTTGTCTAAGTAATTCTTAACTTGTTCTTTCCCTATTTTAGCCTTAGATCATAGAATCATAGAATATCAGGGTTGGAAGGGACCCCAGGAGGCCATCCAGTCCAACCCCCTGCCCAAAGCAGGACCAATTCCCAACTAAATCATCCCAGCCAGGGCTTTGTCAAGCCGGGCCTTAAAAACCTCCAAGGAAGGAGATTCCACCACTTCCCTAGGTAAAGCATTCCAGTGCTTCACCACCCTCCTAGTGAAATAGTGTTTCCTAATATCCAACCTAGACCTCCCCCACTGCAACTTGAGATCATTGCTCCTTGTTCTGTCATCTGCCACCACTGAGAACAGCCGAGCTCCATCCTCTTTGGATCCTACCCATTTACACTGATGTTCGCTACATTTGTCATCCGATCACGCTAACCTTTTTGGTAAAAGCTGGAGGGGGGGGGGGGGGGTCATTTAATATTCAGCTATTGCTGAGTTTTCTCTTTTAGGTTTTTCCCATCTCATAGAATAATGGGCCTATTGTGTTCTCAGATATATTAATGTTTTAATATTGCAAAACTAGGCTAAATAATCCCAACCTGTCTGACCTCCAGTTTCCAGCACTTTACCTCTAGAAGCCAATTTTATGCTCCAGTGGGATTTTTTAGTTGATGTGCAGCACTGAAATAGCTTTGGAGTGATATTTAGCGGAAGGGGAGGGATAACGTTTTGTATCCATGTGAACATTAAACCATTTGGGCTTTTTTTTTTTTATATATATACTTCACATTTGTTGGCCACCTCTGCACTTCAGTGACAGGGTTGGGTTTTTTTTGTTTTGATTTTTTGAATAGGATAGAGGCTTCTCCTTTTGGTTAATCACTTAAAATGTTCATAGTCCACATTAAATCTCATAGTTTGCTCTTTGCTTGTTTCAATTTAAAAAATAATACAAACTTCCTTTCTGTCAGCATTGCCCTGTAACTTTCTATGGCAGAGTTCCATGCCATAAATTTGGTGACTGTTTTAGATACATGAGCGATACTTCTGTGATATTACATGTTGGATCAGTTTGGATATACTGTCATATGTGTTCTTGCAAGTAATTAATGAGGTCTTACTGAGAGAAATGAGAACTTCAGAGGACTGTCTATATACTCTACTTTTCCCTTGGGTTTGGTATGAATATTTTGAGTGCTCGGGATGTACATATTAAGCAGCATGACAGTGAGGAGAAGAAGAGTGTGGCCAAACCGTGTGACTGGAAATGAAAACATCTATGTTGCATCTGTGTGTCTTGCTACCTTCTTGCTGTCTGATTTTTGAGCAGATGCATTAACCTTGGTCAAATAATTAATCCTTGCCCAACTCACCATGCAGGGTTGCTATGAAACTTGATTTATCATTTGTATTGTGTAGTGCCTTGATATTCTAAAACAGAAGGGACTGTAGGAGTAAATAGTGATGTTGTTAGTTCACTAACAGCTTTGAGCTGTTGGTTGGGCTTTCATTTCCTTGACATCTTACTGTACTCCGGTCACAGCAAATTTCAAGAGAATCCAATTTAGCGTTTCATTGTTAGAGGACTCAGAAAGCTCAACCTTTAAACAGGAGTTGTGATGCGACCTCAACTATAGTGGTGTTGCAGGGTTGCTATAATACATAGCAGATTTCTGAACACAGTTTCACTAGAGGTGCTTGCATACTATGTAAAGTGATACAACCCATATTGTATGCTACAATAACACACATTGAAAATTATACAATCCAAGTTCTGGAGTTTATGATGGTGGTGGGAAGCTAGATTGGTGTTTGTTTTTCTAATAAGGTATAAATGTAACATGCAACAAAATTTAAATATTTTAAAGTAGGTGAGAATATTCAAATCAAATTTAGACGGGAAGATATTAAACAACCAAATCTCATATTTGTAATTCCTCCCAAATATATTCTCATTGTACAAACATTGAAACCTGATTTACTCCTCATTGGCACCTCTGTGATAGGAATAAAACTATATTTCTTCATATACAATAAGAATGATGCGCAAAAGCAGTAGGCCATCTGATAACTTACTGTAAGTGATTTGAAGAAATATTTGTCAAACTCTTATGCTGTTTTTTAAAGGAATTTAGAGTGCTTCCTATAAGATCTGTAATTTTAGTTCAGCTAGCAAAGAATTATTTAGAATGTGTACTGTGTGGCCGTTATAATGCATTAACTAGAATACAGTATGGGCTTTCTAAAATAGGAAATAAAAGGGAGCTAAATCATTAACTCTGCCTATTAAATTGAAGGGAAACAGCTGAGCCATGAAAACATAAGTAAAATTATTATTCTGCCATGTGATAGAAAACTCTCATTTAAAAGCTAACATATCCATTTCATTCCTTTCTTCCTGTGTTTGCGTTTAAAAACTATGACAGTAGCTGTATAATTATTTATCATCCTGTTGTGACAGGATGAATATGAAGAGCTGCTTCGTTATGCTGTAGTGACTCCAAAGTTTGAACCGTGTGTCCTGAGGCAGTCTGAGCCTGCTGCAGAACTGACAGCACATGACAGATTTTCAAGTTTAATGGATGAAGTCATCAATCACCCTAAGACTCCAGGTAGTGTGTGGGGAGTGGTGGTGGTGTGGGGAAATGTGTTTATATGTTTGAGTATAAAGAGAATTTTCATAACATAAATAGATACTCAGATAAAAGTATCTGGTGATTGCATAATTTGAATTGCACTGTCTGATATAATATGCAAACTTGGTTACTTTAAGAAAAAAAAAAAAACTCGTGATAAAGGGTTCTTTTAAATATCTGCTATTCTGGAGTTCAAAACATAAGTGTTGTGATGTAGTTAAAGCCTTTAGCATTGTTTGTCTAGTCTTAAGTTTTGTAGGGGATTTTGACATTTTTAAAGAAACTGCCAGCCTTATATCTATCTTTAGCTTAAATCTACCTTGTGTAATAGTTAGAAAATAAGCTAAGGAGGGAGTTCTACTAACAGGCGATCCCAAAACCACTGTCTGTGGAGCACTCCTGATGGTTTGTGGAAAGCTGGCTGGTTACATGGTGCTGGTGGTTGCTAAATCACAACAAAGAACTAAAAATACATAAACAGTTTTCGTTTTCCTGTAGGTGAATGCCATAGTTTCCATAGGGATATTTTGCAATATGTAATGGGAGGGGAGGTAGTCCACAAAGCACACTCTATTAAGATGTGGTCCGCATTAACAACAAGTATTTTCAATTTTTTTCAAATACATACTATGAGATTATATGTTCTTCTCTTAAGAAGTGAAGATACTAGCAAATGACACCAAAATAAAATAGACTCCTTTACACTTACATCCATGAGAATATATGATTTTCTCTGATGGCCAATGACCAAGTATTGCCACTTGGTAATACCCTTCCACTGATGTCTTTGAACTGACAACTTTAAACCTAAGAAACCAGTGCTATGTGTTACTTCAAAGTACCTTGGATCATTTTCCCTTTCATCTTATTAATAACATATACTGTACTAACTTTTCCTAAGAACATAGCTTTTCATGTTAGAGAGCTGTTGTGAGAGTAGTTTGAGGAAGAATAATAAGCATCATAAGATAAAGCAAAGCATTTTGTGTCTTGTCTAATGTGAAAAGATGCTCCAACATGGAGAGCATTTATTAAGATGCATTTTTTATCAATAGGAATCTGCTGGGTGTACACAATGTTTGACTGGTTTAATTTTTAAAATGGCTTTTTTGTTTAATTTTTTTAAATTTTCAAGTAGTAACAATTTAACAGTTCATTGGATGTTCCAGGCCATGTTTTCAGGGCAGCAGAAGCAGCTGTGTCCCTTGTACTTCCCCTTCCACAGAGGTTTGGCCAGTTGATCTGTGTAGTGAAAGCCATATTCATAGAATATCAGGGTTGGAAGGGACCTCAGGAGGTCATCTAGTCCAACTCCCTGCTCAAAGTAGGACCAATCCCCAACTATATTTTTTTGCCCCCTTAAGGATTGAACTCACAACCCTGGGTTTAGCAGGCCAATGCTCAAACCACTGAGCTATCCCTACCCCCTACATTCATGCACTCTGGCCAGCAATACCCTTGCTCCTACTCTCCCCCTCCCTTCCAAACACACACATGTCACTTGAAGAAATGCTTGTTCATTTAGAAGAGGAGCCGAGTCATCTTCTGAGCTGAGCCATTAGTGCATCATCTCCAAAACTTCTCCCCAGTGCAGCACAACCACAGTGGATTCTCTGAACATAAGAACCTCTGTGGGAAGGGGTAGAAGGCAGGTTTTTACCCTGATAAGAGCACAAGAGTGGCAGGTGATACTGAAATGCAGACACACAAGGAATTTGAGAACAATTAATGCTGTCATGGAAAGGTTCAAATGCAGTTTCTGTAGTTCTGTGCTCATGAAGCTTATGTGCGTGAGCATGAAGTGACCTCTCTGGGATGAGAAGAGGTGATGAGAATGTTTGTGGTTACATCTACACTACAGCTGGAATCGACGCTCTGAGATCGATCCACCTGCGGTTGATTTAGCGGGTCTAGTGAAGACCCGCCAAATTGACAGCAGATCACTCTTCAGTTGACCCCCCCTGGTAATTCGACCTAAGGTATGTCGACTCCAGCTACGTTATTCATGTAGCTGGAGTTGCATAGCATAGGTCGACTTACCGCAGTAGTGTAGACATAGCCTGTGTCCTGTATGGGAAGTGTGTCAGTGCTGTGTAATAAACAGTAACATGCCCAGTGCCGACAGTCTGAGCCAAAGAAGTCACAGATCTCTTAAAATCACAGAATACATGACCTCTGTGACCAATTCGTATCCTTAGTCATAGAGTTCCACGTTGTCCTCCAGCTTCTTCTAAAGTGAGAGCAGATACATGTGGGAATAGAATCCACTATGGTACAAATTATTTGAATTCAAAAGAATTTTTCTCTGGGCTTCAAATCTCCCAGCACAATGAATGCGGATGGTGGGGGAAACATTAATTACAATTGGTTAGTTTTATGTATCTTTCAGTTTCTCCTTCTGTAAAATGGGGGTAATGAGACTCATCCCCATTGGAAAGCATTTTGATATCTATGGATAAAAAGCACTAAGTAAGAGCTAGGTGGTATTAACATGATGTTGTGGGTCAATAGGATTCAAACACAATTGTAAAACTCTAGAATTCTAGGACAGTTCTAGAACAAGTTGCTGGAAACCCCCGAGTTGCTGAGCTTGTGAAGGTAAATGGGAAAAGTCCCAATTTTGTACCAGTTTGGAACAATATTACATAGCAAATCCCAGTCCAAAAAATACTACTGTTGTTGACTAGAGATTTCAATTCCAACTACATTGAAATCAGTCTCCATGAATACAGTTTTCTGGTTCATTGTATGATTTTCTTCAGAATTGAACAAATGTAGTGTTTGATGCTGACATCCTATTCAAGTTCAGTACCTTGCTCTCAACAGGATTGTTTATGGAGTATGATAATACTTGGTATAAGTAAAGGTAACAGAATCAGGGCCCATAGACAGCAGTTTGTTTGATGATTGCTCCTACTTTCTTGCAGAGTGTACTATAGGAAGATCAACAGGCTATCTGTCTGAAAAGAATACTGAGAATCTTTAAAGCTACCGTATACACCACAAATACGCATTTATTTTCAGTCAGGCAAAACCGACTGGTTACACTGGTATTTCTAGTATAAAACAGCCAAAACCTTGTGAATGACAAGCTTAATAACCAAATAAGAAACTGAGAGATGTTTTCTCCCTGCAAGTTATCCTTGTAAAAATGTTCATTAGTTAAAAATAATCTTACTCCCAAGGTCAGTGCTCAGGATTCTGTGTTTCTCTTGTCACGATTTATGACCTGACTAAATTTTTTTTTTTTTATACTGTGCTCATCAACTCTGTATCTGAGTGCTTAACAGTGTAGAATTGAATTGGAAGCTCTGCTTTAGTTTGAGTGGGTATTCTTGCTGTCTAAACGTAGAACCTGAGCTACTAAATTGTCAGGTAAGAAAGGAAAAACTGACTTTAGACTAAATATTTCCAGATAAACAATGTTTTCTTTCATGGTTCAGTTAAAACTGACAAATTGAAAAGGGAACTAAAGAAACTTTAGGTTCTTTAGAGAAAAAGAGATTCACCTTTACTTCTCTTCAGTCCTCATTGGTAGTGAACTAACTTTTTTTTGTGTCATTTTAAAAACTTTGAGTTCATAATTTGATAGTAATTTGTTCTGAACTTAAAATGGAAACATTTTTCTAGGTGAGCTATATGCAAAATGTAGCCTCTCAGTTATGCTCCATTTAATTTATCCTGGATCATTTAATACCTCTAAAGATGTATAGTTTATCTGTTGCAATGATTTAGGCTCATTTGGTGATTAGCAGTTCACCCATCACCCCCACCCAATTAAAAGATCTTCAATTTCTGTACTTTGTACGGTTAAATGATTCCTTAAGGGGATGATTTATCTTTATGCTTGGGTATGGAATTCTTCCACCTCAGCAGACTTAAGCATAACTCTTACTAGACTCAACTTTCCACTATTAGAGTCTGCTGGGGACTATTCCTTATACCATCTCTAAAGTTTTGTTTGTGGTTATTTCAACTGATAAATTTCACTTATTTTTGGTGCTTGTTGATCCTCCTTTCATAGGTCTTTTTAAAAAAAAAAAAAAAAACCCACAAGCATACATTACATCCTTCCCCTGGAAAGCCTTCTGATTTATTAACCTGACAATCTTTCTATTCCCATGCAGTTTATGTGGAGAAGCAAGACTATATAGATTCCAAGGCCAGAAGGAACCATTAGGATCATGTAGTCTGACTCCATATAACACAGGCCATAGAACTTTCCTAAAACAATTTCTAGAACGACTCTTAGAAAAACATCCAATTTTGATTTAAAAATTCAGTGATGGAGAATCCACCACGACCCTTGGTAAATTGTTCCAAGTTAATTACTCACACCATCAAAAATGTATGCCTTATTTCCCGTCTGAATTTGTGTAGGTTCAACTTCTAGCCATTGATTGTGTTATAAAATTTCTCCGCTAGCTTGAAGAACTCATTAAATATTTGTTCCCCAGGGAGGTACTTATAGGCTAATCAAGTCACTCCTTAACCATCTCTTTGTTAGACTCAAGGAGCTCAATCTATTTAGCTTATCACTATAAGGCATGTTTTCTAATCCTTTAATCATTCTCGTGGGTCTTTTCTGAATCCTCTCCAGTTTTTCAACATCCTTCTTGAATTTTTGACACCGGAACTAGAAACAATATTCCAGCAGCAGTCACACCAGTGCCAAATATAGAGGTAAAAATAACTTCATTCCTCCCCGAAATTCGCCTGTTTATGTATCCAAGGATCGCATCAGCCCTTCTGGCCACAGCATCACAGTGAGCACTCATGTTTAGCTGCTTATCCTCCATTACCCCAAATCTTTTTCAGGGTCACTGCTTCCCAAAATAGAGTCCTCCATCCTGTAAGTATGGCCTACGTTCTTTGTTCCTAGATGTACAGGTTTACATTTCACCATGTTATAAGACACATTGTTTGCTTGATAAAAATGTTAAATAGGGTAGGACCAAGAACAGATCTCTGCTGGACCCCATTGGAAATAGACCCGCTCAATGATGGTTCCCCATTTACAATTACATTGAGACAAATCACTTATCCAGTTTTAATCCATTAAAGGTGCCCACACGTTCATTATGTATTGTTCTAGTTTTTTTAAATCAAAATGTCATGCAGTACCAAGTCAAATGCCTTACAGAAGTCTAAGTATATTATATGAAAACTATTACTTCTATCAGCCAAACTGGTCATCTCATCCCAAAAAAATCAAGTTAGTTTGACAGGATCGGTTTTCCATGAACCTGTGACAATTTGCATTAATTACATTATCCTCCTTTAGTTCTGTATTAATCGAGTCTGGTATCAGCTGCTCCATTATCTTGTCCAGAATCGATGTCAGACAGGCCTATAATTACCTAGGTCATCCTGTTAACCTTTTAAAAAAAATTCACACAACATTATCTTTCTTCCAGTCTTCTGGAACTTCCCCAGTGCTCCAAGGCTTACTGAAAATCAAATTAACAGTCTGAGCTCCTCAGCCAGCTCTCTAAAAACTCTTGAATGCAAGTTATCCAGACCGGCTGATTTTAAAATGTCTAACTCTACTAGCATCTGTTTACCATCCTGCAGATATACTAGTGGAATGGGAAGAGTATTATCATCACCATATGGTGAGAATATATAATCTGTTTTTCCCCCCAAAAATATAGGACAAATATTTACTAAACCCGTCTGACTTTTCTGCATTATTATTTTTTATAATTCTACCATTTCCATATAGTAATGGACCAATACCATTGTTGGGGTTCTTTTTGTTCCGAATATATTTCAAAAACTCCTTTTGTCCTTATCTGCTAGGCTTCCTTTTTCAATTTTCTACAAGTCCTAACTTCTGATTTATATTCATCACGATCAACTTCCTCTTTCTTTCATGTTTTTTTATATATATATATATATATATATATATATATATATATATATATAATAAAAAAATATTTTACAGCTGCCTTCACTTCCCCTCTGAACCAGGTTGGTTTTTTTAAATAAGTACAGCCTTCTCCCTTTTTTTGGGGGGGGGTGTGTGCACACATCTAATAGTGTTAAGTGATTCCCACTTACTCACATTTTTTTCGGATTTAAATTCTTCACAGAGGATTTGGCTCATAATTGTTTTCAGCTTTGTGAAATTGGCTATATTAAAGCAACAAGTGTATATATACTGGTATATTGCTGGTCTGGGCTTTATTCTGCTTGCATATTATAAATATGATCAAGTTATGATCACTTGTACCTAAGCTACTATTAATTTTTAGTTCTCGATCAGTTTTTGTTTATCATAAGCTAAGAGACTTAAGACATATTTCAATACCTTGAATAGGGCCAAACACTTCTGGAAATTATCCTACTTGTTCGTAGCCTTTGTCTATATATTAGGGATTTTCAGATGTTCTCCCACTGTTGATTTAGCACCAGTGCAACTCTACCAGTGCTAGGAATGCTAGTGGTGTGTAGCCCAGTCAGAGGGTTTTACTCAGTATCATCTTAATCCAGTTCTGAAAATGCCCATGCCTGGTTTACCCTAGAGAGCTTATCATTCTGAGCACCAGTGGCGTTTCAGAAGACTAAAGGTGAGCTAGAAAGGGGGATCTTCAACAAAAATTCTTGCGCTGCTCTGCTCCCATTTGGTCTTTATCTATTGCTGTGTTATGACAGTAAAATTCTCAAGACAGGGTTCTATAACTTTTTTTTTTAAACTGCCTGCAAAAGGGGGGAAGTGTACACCTATGCTGTATATAATATTAAATGGCTGGAGTTCTCGGTATTCTTGTTTACCCAACTTCCCCTCATTTTTGGAGGGTTTTTTTTCCCCACTAGATTTTGAACTTGAGGGCAGTTGGAATTGCAGCTCTTACATATCGTACAGAACACAGCCTTGTTTGAGGGGTAAGTGTGCAGGTGGCTCCATTGGTTACTATTTTTTCCAAATAGTTCCAGGACTTTTGGAAGCATGCATTTCAAGTCGATGAGTGTGGCTCTGTAGAGGTGATATACTGTTGATGTAGAACTTCAATTGTAGTAACCTTTGTTTAAAATAGTTTTACAATAATAATAGTTTCCAGTCAAATAGGAAAACTACTCAGAATAAAACATGCTGTGCTGTTAAATCCAGAGTTCAGAGGCTTTGGAATTGTTTCCTGTTGTGTGTGATCAGTATAGTTAATTGGATCTGAAAACCTGAGAGACTGGAACAAGACATTTCTTGTAGCAGAGATGTACAGGGGTGACTCCTCTCCAAACAGTTGAGATGTGAGTTCTCTTTAGGCTATCAGTCCACAATACTGACCCATTATATTCCACATTTGCAGTTTTACTTAAAAAAATTCTCTCCCTGAATGTTATTTTTAAAAGTTGATTAATGTGCTTAGAATGTAAACAGGGCACCCCAGTGGGCCTGAACTCCCAGATCATAAGAGAATTTGATGGACCTATCAAAATCACGCCCCCCCCCCCCCCAAACACACCTTTCTCCTTAAGTATTTTCTCTCCCACTCTCCCCCCCTGCCCCAAAATCAATGCATTCTTTCACCAGGAAATGCTTGCAGCATCTCATGATGGTCACCAAAGGAGAGGGGGAAATGTTTATGCTGCCACCTTTTTTTTCTTCTTCTTTTTCTTCCCTCCTCCAAGTTTTTCTACCACGTGTCAAGGAAGCCTGAAAAATGTGTGATACACAGTTTCCTCGATATAACGCTGTCCTCGGGAGCCAAAAAAAATCTTACCGCGTTATAGGGGAAACCATGTTATATTGAACTTGCTTTGATCCACCGGAATGCGCAGCCCCCCCCCCGAGCACTGCTTTACCGCGTTATATCCGAATTGGTGTTATAGGGGTCGCGTTATATCGGGGTAGAGGTGTATTTATAAAGGTTTTCTCTTTTTGCTCTTTTATATTTAGATATACCATGTTTATCAAGTCTCATCTTCTCTGTTTCTTGAAGCTCTTTCAACCTTGAGTTAAAGGAATGGAGGTGTTTTGATAATTGAGAGCTTCTCCCCTGTGTTAGTTTTGTTTATTTAATTCAAATATCCAACAAAGAGTTTTAATCAGGCTGACTAAAAATTGCTCAGGCTTCAGTATCTTGTGGTGATCTCTCTACTTCTCCTGTTTTCCATAGAATTCTCCAGCAAAAATAGGGAAATAGTACCTGATATGTTTGATACAAAACAAAAACCAAAACAATATTCCTTTCCTCTACACCTCTCCCCCCCCCCCAATACTATTATAAGTATACATTAAGAGAGAGAGAAAATTGCATTGATAAGTGATTAGAAAACAGCATGTTTAAGTTAGTGTTAAAGTCTATGACTATGTGGAACGTTAAGGTCAGAAGGGACCATTATGATCATCTAGTCGGACCTCCTGCACAACGCAGGCCACAGAATCTCACCCCCCACTCCTGTATCAAACCCCTAACCTATGTCTGAGCTATTGAAGTCTTCAAATAATGGTTTAAAGATTTCAAGGTGCAGAGTATCCTCCAGCAAGTGACCCTTGCCCCACGCAATTTTTTCCCTACATTCATAGGTACATGTGTTGTGTTATGTATTTTAGCAGTGCATCATATTACTCTGTATTCCAGCCAGAGGAGACACATGGGGGAAAGAGGGGACATGCAGGGTCATGTTCCCCCCCCCCCCCACTCGGATTTGCTGCTTTGTTTGTTCTGAGCTCACAGAGTGAGCATGTGCAGTAATACTGCTGAAGCCAGCTGCCCTCACTCTGCGCCCCCCCTTCCCCCCCACACACACACTATCTGCAGGCATGGGTTGTATCTGATGCCAGATGCTCCATTAAAGTATTTCACATTAAAAATAGATCATGTAAAATAGTCTTGTACTACAGATCAAAGTATAACCACACAGAGTAATAGTGAAAGCACATATATGCCATTTAAATGTATATTTAAGTAAATTTTGTAGTTAATTACCTTTTACTCTGAATGACTGACTGCTGCTTATTGGAAAGAAACTGTATAACACATCTTTGACTAAATTATTAAAAAACATACCATAGAAAACCATTTTTAAAATGATCTACATTGGATTACTCAATGCAATAGCATATGTGTATGAGAATGGAAAAAATGGGATGAGACTACACCTGTAAATACAGGTCTGGAAAATCTGTATAATCTGATAAATGAAATAATCCGTTAACTAAAGACTACCATAATGCTTATACACAAAGGAGGTAGAAATATAGTTGAGACCTGAAAATCAAAGTCCTCTGCTTGTGGCTGTCATTAAAGATCACATAATCTTTTCACAAGAGTTAACCCTGTCGCTGGCCAAATTCCAGACTATGAAACTATATTCCTCTTGCATTTTTACTGGATAATAGTATTTCTCATTTCCTGATGCTGTCTGATGATAAACAGTTACCCTGTTTCACCCAAAGGTGGTTGTGTTTCAGTGGTGGATTAGGTGGGCTCTTGTATTTAGCATTATGTATCAAATTCCAAGCATTTTGGAATCCTTTGGCCTAAAAGCTTCTACATAAATGCAGTTATCATTCAACACAAACAGCTTCCAAGATAGGGTTGTGTAAACCTGAAAGGGGGTCAATTTTTATGAATTTGCCAACATGCCAGTTAGATTTTACAGCTGAAATCTAACAAACTAGATTTGCCAATTGGATAAGTGTTGTGACCAATGTAGAATGGAATCTAATATAATAACTCCTTTTTATTGAGCCCAGGGAGCATAACTTAATAATTTCAATGCTGGGTTCTCTTCAAATCAACTTTCAACTTCAACAATATTTCTCAAATCAGGACACTTGATTCATTAAGAATAACCAAACATTTTTTTTAATTCACCCACTACGACATTAATATACAACCATCAGTTCACCAATTAAGTGTAGACACAGCCAATGTTCTAGGTACCTACTGAATAAACTGATAGTCTTGCAAGCAATTGTCAATTACTAGGCTTGAGGCTCAACAGTTACACCAAGAAACAATATAAATTACCAAGATTTCTTATTACATTTACTTACGAACATCAGTTCTTTAGTAGCTAAGACATGTATCACCTTTCCAGTATTTCTCCAAGAAGGAAGAAGGTACTTGTCTCTAAGGAACTTTTGAGTGTTTGGTCCCTGCTTTTTGAATGGATTGGTGGAACAGAGACAAGTTTAGAATATCAAAAGAAATTGCATGAAGATTATGGTGCAGATCTCTTGAGGCCAATTTTCTTGGACTTAAAGGAGTAAAATGGTTACTTAAGATCCTAATAGAGAGTGTAGACTTAAGATAACCTAAAGAGCAGAAGAGGAATCTTTGACATGAAATCTCACCACTTTTCCTCTTAACCTGGTCCAGGTGTCTGTTGCAATGGGGATTCTACAGCTTCCTTGTGGTTCAGTCAACTCTGGAGTCTCACCTGCTGACCTTCTTTTTTTATATATATACACACACACCCTGATTTCAGAGCTCACTGGAGGTGGCCACCCTTTGATTTCTATTGGTCACATGCCAATTGAGTGCTCAGGTTTCAGCTGTTTCTCTGTTGTTTCCATCAGTATCCAGTAGATGGCATTGATGTATATCAAATTTCTTCAATCATTTTCTTATCAGAGACTGATTCATTTCAAGGACTGTACTTCAGTATTGATCCACATTATTGGATTCCCCGCCTCCCTTTTAGCACTTTTTAATAATCGAAAATTATATCCTGGTTTATATCTTTCAACATTCCTTCTTCCTTGTGCCATACAATTCCTATTACTTCTAGAGTGCCCTAATTATTTACAATGAAAACCAACAAAATCCCTTATCTTCCAGATTTGATGGATGTACTTCATACATTCTTTGATTGTACATAAGTACTTCCTGTTGTTTAGGGTTTGCAACAAAACAAGAGACGTTATCCACATGTAGAGAGATGTAGATCTGACTCATAAGGCAAGCAAATTTGGAGCTCCTAATTTGGGGTGAAACATTTTGACAAGGCAAAACAGATTTCTATGGTATATTTTGAATTTACAGTGCAAACAAATTTGGCTTGAAAACTTGTGGTTTGCCTTATTTGACCTTTTCTCTCTCAGCAAGAGATTTGTAGTTTGGTTAACTTGCAGCTTCCACACCCATCTCTCGATCTACTCAGTGTGCAATGGGCCACTTCACACAGAAAAGCAAAAAACTACCGGGCAAGGATAGTTTTCTTGGAGTTTTCTTCTTCGCAACCTAGCTAGAAGAGGTTTTATCCATATGCAAATTGAGAGATTCTTGCCTTGGTTATTAACAATACTCATTTAGCCATTTTAGTTTCTATTATTGAGGAATGGAACTCTCAACCTTGGCTGATCTTTGATCCGTAGACCAAGTGTCTTACATGATATGAACAGTTTTTTTTGTTTTTGTTTTTAGTGCCTTTACTTCCTAGGTGGATCCTATTTTGGGATAAACAGAGGTGGACAGATTTCCTAACGTTGAGGGCCAGGAGAAATTAAGTCATTAACTAATCAAGGCATGTCTGTTTACTCTACCCCTTACAGTGATGAGGATACTATGTATTCGTATAAAAAATATCTTAAATGCTTCCAGTTACTTTTGCCTTTCCAGTTTTGTATCTGATTTCGACTTCTATGCCGCTCTAGCAGAAGCTATTTACTGACTTGTATCTAAAACAGGAAGAGGTCAGGTATTAGAGGAACATAGAAAGGAGCTGTAGTAACATCATCTGGGAAAACAGTTGATTTCATTACCTCTGTTTTGATTACAAGAATAGAAGGTATAGTTTTTTTAGGATTGAGCAGGTAGTGGAATTATTCTCAAATAACTTCCCATAGGCATTCTCCTACTGCAAGTATAATATTCTTCCATATGTTTCCTGCATAGGTAACCACTTGTGAATTTGGCATGACTTGCTGTCCCTATTAAATCTCAAGCATTACAGGGAATGTAAATTATTGGTAATTATTAAAAGATTGATTTTTATAGGGGTCTGTTAAATTGCACGATAGGAACAGAAAGTAAGTTTCTATCTCTAATGTGCATGGCATGGCATAGCATAGCAAAAGCAAAGGTGTGTGCAGAAGTAGTATTGGGTAATCATTGTCTTGGGAAAGGTGGAATAGGAGGACGACAGCATAGTGAAAAGGAAGGTAAATGGGTACAGGTTGTTTGCAGTGACGATTAAATAAAAATCAAAGCTAAGAACCTATAATACTACTAAAATGTAGGAATACACCAGTTGTCCATCTAGCCTAATATCCTGTCTCTGACCATTACCTATATGAAATGCTTCAGAGTAATGTGAAAACAGAATAAAAGGCATCTGGCAAGCTATGCAAAAACATATAATGGAATATGTACGTCTCCCTAAACCATCTTGGTGATTTAGTTTATGCCTTAGAGTGTGAGAGGCTTTTTAATTCTTAATTTCAGATGCTAATCTGAGTTTAAATGTTTTCTTTTATTGATTTTTACTAAATTATTTACCTTTATTGCCAGCAATGAGTTCAAACAAATTCAGTATCAAGGTACTTCCCCCCTCCCCCCACCTTTACATTTGTTGCATACTGACTTCTTTAGCTGTTTTTGTTTAAGCAAGAGTGCCAGAGATTGTTCTTTATCCCATTTGTTTTATATATTGAATTTCTGCCAAAACTTTGGCATCTTAAGTTTCAAATATTTTAAATCTCTCCTTGTATGAGGGTGGGAGTCAGTCATACCTCTTTTTATCGTAGTTTTTTTCCAGATTTTACCTATTTGAGTCTGCATAACTGAGAGTAGGTAACCAACACTAATATTTAGCATGTTAGTTTTTCAGAGTCTTGTACAGAGAAAATAATCCTCAAAAACCAGCCCCATTAGGTAGGTAAGTAATATTATCCCCATTTTAACACATGACAATACAGTGACCGAGCCAGATCCTGACCTCCATTTACACACATGTAAATTGGGAGTGAGTCTGTGGACTACAAGAAGTTAGACTTGCACTTTTGTGTAAGTGAAATTGGAATTTGGTCCAGAGAGACTAACAGCTAGATTTTTTTAGGCTGAAGCTGGTATATAGTGCCATCTCAAGAGGAGCCTGGGAGGGAATTGTGACTGACTCTTGAGTCACACTTCCTTCCTGGCGGCCCTTCTGGCTTGGAGGTTGGGAGGGAGATAATGTCAGCTCTGCCCGCCTGCTTGAAAGGAAATATCAGTCCAGGGAAGGCATTTTTGCTGACCCCACTCACTCTTAGTGCCCCAACTTATTTCCCTGAATGGCCATAATGTAGAGTCACAATCTAGTCCCAAAAGACTGCTAGCCAACTTGCCTTGGGTAGGCTGGAACACACATTTTCTGGCTCTGTATGCTCAGTCTATCAGATGCTGCTGCTGTTCAAATGAACACAGAATTCAAGGCTAATATTAATTATATACAGTAGAACTTCAGTTACAAACACCTTGGGAATGGAAGTTGTTCATAACTCTGAAATGTTCATAACTCTGAACAAAACGTTATGGTTGTTCTTCAAAAGTTTACAACTGAATATTGACTTAATACAGCTTTGAAACATTACTGTGCAGAATTAAGATGCTTGCTTCCCTTTTAGTAGTTTACATTTAACAGTACTGTACTTGTTTTTGGGGGGGGGGGGGGGGTCTGTCTCTGTTGCTGCCTGATTGCATACTTCTAGTTCCAAATGAGGCATGTGGTTGACTGGTTAGTTTGTAACTCTGGTGTTCGTAACTCTGAGGTTCTGCTGTAATTCTTTTTTCTATTCCCTTAATAGAGCCTGGCTGTCTTATTTGCTTCTTCCCCCCCCCACTGCAGTTGCATCTTAAATGGATCATTACATTGATAATAGTGACTGTGTGTTCTCCTCCCCATGAAATATTTCTGCTCAGTGTACGTTACCTTTTACTTGTCCGTGCTGACTTTCTATAGGTCCTTTCAGAGTTAGCAAAAACTCTTCCAGTACACTAAATATTTTGAATCCAAATGATATTCCCCAGCCAGATTGTAATTATAACATCTCAACTTTTAAATTACATGACAACGTCCTTTATATATTAAGTTTCAAAAACCAACATTATCTTGCAATTTTCTCTACACATACACATTCTCAGAAAGGTTGAATACTAAAATAAAACACAAATGTGTGAGACTTCTCCTTTCCCTGTGTACAAGAAAAGAGACGTTCTATCCAGGGCTGCTTTTTAATACCTTTTTAAAAATTAGAATTTGTTCTTGTCGGTGCTCCACCGTTGCTACACTGATGCCTCCCCTTGGTCACTCTGGGGATTAGCACTTGAGGTAGACACCCTCTGGTCTGCAGCTCCTCTTTTGTTCCAGGATCCTCGGTGTCTCCTTTGTGACTTAACCCTCCAGCTAGGTACCTCAGCATTCCCCCTTCCAGGGTACAGTCCATCAGCAGTTCTAGGCAGTTTTCCCATTCACTGCCTCACGTCTATGCTATGCAGTGTCCGGTAGGGAAACCCAGGCCTGCCCTCTTCTCCGGGTTCCAATCCAGGGACCCTCAGCTCAGTGGTTCTGGGCTTCCTCTTTCTGCCCTCACTGCTCCTTCCCTGCACTGATTCCTACACTCTGGTTCCCCATCTCTTCCCTCCTCCCCTCCCCAGGGAGTGACTGTTGCCTGATTTCCTTAGCAGCCCAGTCTGTAGCCTGCTACCTGTCTTTATAGGCCTTCCCTGTTCCTGCACAGGTGAGCATCTCTCTAATTAACTGCCTCCAGTCTAAAGCTCCCCTCTTTGCAGTCAATTAGCTGATTGGGCCCACCTGGCCCTATTCTATTCTTGCAGGGCTAGTGTGGGGATCTCCCCCATCACAGTTCTAAATATAACACTAACAGCAGAAATTTTCCAATGGATATGCTTTCCAATTGCTCTTAAAAATATTGTTCATCTTCATATTGTCAACTTGGGGGACTTGTTGCATATTTTAGTTGTTCTTTGTGTATAAGCATATTTGCCTTTCCTGAATTAAGTAAAGTCCAGTCCTACTTCATCTTCAGTCTGTCTCCAATAGTTTCTTGGCATGTATTTATCTGTATTGCAGTGGCACCTAGTAGCCCCAACTCTCAGTTAGGACCTATTGTGTTAAGGCACGGTACAAACACATAGTAAGATACTGCCTGCCCCAAAGAGTTAAAAATCATAATAGGCGATCAAGTCAAAGGGTGTCGGAAAGGTAGCATTATTTCTTCCATTTACAGCTGGGGAATTGAGGCACAGAGAATCCAGTGTAATGTTTCATTTATTTATGGAGTGCTGTTTATGGTGATACCGGGGTGAGGAGGGCCATATACATACCTGAATGTATAAATAAAGGTACACTGTACATTGCAAACAAACAAGACATGCTCCCCACCCTGAGGAGCTTACGGTCTAATGTAGATACAGTAGAACCCTATTTATTTGACCCTCATTATCCAGCTCTACACGGAAAGCCAGTGCACACAGGTCCAGAAAGGGGGGGGGGGGGTGTCTCTCCTATGGCGCTGCAGCATTGCGCTTTCCCATTCTCTGGTTTATCCTGATTGTATATCCGATCTGGCCCCGGTCCCAATTAGATCGCATAAATGGGGTTCTGCTGTATTATGAAACTTGGGGAAACAATTCAGAAAATGGTGAGGGGGTAACGTTTAAATGGACTCCACTTGACATGATTTCCTGAAAGAAGTCTTTCAAGTAGAGGGATGCTTTCTGTTTCCTTGTAAAGCTAGTTTCTCAACACTAGAAAATTCACTTGGTCCATAAACAGTGCTATGTTTTGGCACAAATGACCTTGAAAGTTTCTGGTTTTAAAGGGAACAATACTTTGACATGGGAAGCATAGTTCATTCTTTCTGAGAGTAAAACTTATCAGCCAACTGCTGTTTTACAGATGTTCATCCCTTAGGATATGTCTACACTGCAGCTGGGAGTGTGCTTCCCGGCTCGAGTGGACCTAGCATGCTAAAAGTAGCAGTGTAGCAAGGGGTTAGCTTGGTGCCTGAGCACGTATCTAGGATGTCCGAGCAAGAGTGTGTACTCCGGGGGGGGGAGAGGGCTTGACCAAAGCTACCACTTTTGCTGCCCCCTGCTATGCTGCTATTTTCGGCGCTGGTCTGAGCAGAATTAGTATGTCTGTCTGCCTGTTCTGGGAAGCATGCTCCCAGATGCAGTGTGGAAATACCCTTGGAAGCATACTTAGAGGCATACTTTTGGGTTTACGTGCATAGAGAAGGAAGACTTCTGGTGACATATGCCTTTTGTATACCCAACTTCTGACTTGCCTCCTGAATATACAACAGCTAAACCCTTCAAAGAATCAACTTTTAACCTTTTTGTTTTATTTTTAGTTTTTACACCGGTAAAGGGACCTTCTCAGGCAGACATGGAAGGACTTTGCCCTGTTCGTTCGGGAGAGACTTCTTCACAAGGGTCCTCATCTGGTCCAAGAGAGATTGATGAGACTATAGTGACTGAGTTAAGTGTTTCAGATGAAAAAGTGACCCAGATAGAAAGCATACTTGATCTCTGGAGTGGAAGTCTTAAGGTATTAAATTTGTGCTAAATGTAATATCCTTATATTGAGCAGATGACTATTGTGACATTGTATTTTCTCCTGTGCTTCTACCAATCTAACTACATTGGGAAATTGATGTAACTTATGTTGCTTGATAGCTAAACAGTTGAAAACTTACTGGACTGGCACAGAGATGGACTAATAATCTGCTTGCCTTTGACTAGTGAACACTAAATACTCCAAGAATCAGTTCTGTTCATGCAGTGGCGACTATAAGAGTGTCTGTATCTGTGGTCCCAGAAAGCTCCTTAAATTTCAAGCTCTGTGAATGTGCACAGGCAGGATCAAAACTGCCTATCAAAAACAGATCAGATGGGAATTGGTGGAGCAATAGTTGTATTCTTCCAGCTCCCACCTGCAAGCAAGCTCCTCCCACTTGACACCAGAATGAGACTCCAGTCACAGTAGAATGGGTCATATTTTGAACATCTGCACATTCATGTTCTGTTGGATTTCTCAGGAGCGGCTCCTTTTCAGTGGAATTTGTAACATCAGTGGGCTCTGCTGGACTCCTTTGAGTTTGGCTCCGAGTGGAGCTGGATGCCCTGTAGCAGTGGCTTCCTCTTAGTGGTGCTCAGTTACCCAACCCCCAGGCTTTGCTCCTCTCGTCTCCCTTGTTGGCACCACTGGCTAGATTAAAATGGTACAGGTACTTTTCCAAGTGTCACTGGTTGTGGCACCAAAATGAAATATTCTTAGTAGATTGATCATGGTTTGATTCTCCTCCTCCTCTCTTACATGCTTTTATTAGCAGTCTAATACTGAAATGTATTTAAGTTATCATAATTAGATGTCTCAGTGTGTCTGGTAACTGGACAAAGTTGTACATGCAAGGTTCAGTGTAAATTTTGATGTCTGATTAGCTGCCATACATTCTAGGATTAAAAGACTTGGAGAGGATAATTTTCCTAGTTTCATTAGTGCTACCCTTTTCAGACAAATGTTCTGACTGAACTCAGAAAATGGAAAATGACTTTTATTGAACATCACAAGCTGGAAATGAGACAAGAGAAAGAGAAACATGCTGCACATGTGAGACAGCTGAACAATCAGATGGAGAACCTGAGAGAGCTGCTACATACTTACGAAATCTCCATTGGCAGAAAGGATGAGGTAACAGTTTTCTTATTCTGTTCTGTCTTCTATTTTTAGAACTCTCTGAGATTGAGATTGAATCTTTTTCTCTCTTAATTGTACTTTCGCAACAGGTAATGTAATGTATACACTCTAAACTAACTTACTTGCTTAGTCAGAAAAGAAGCATCAGAGTATTTCAAGCCACTCAGGATGAACTTCAGCAATTGTAGAATCAAACTACATTATCAGTAAACCACATAATTACTGTGCATTCTCTAATACTAATAGGGAAATTTTACTGTTTTGTCCCTAATTTATGGTTTCTCTTTCATGAAATTCACACTGTTTTGGATTAGTAATTACAGATCACTTCCACCTACCTCATCCCTTAAAACAAAATTGGTTTAAAGGCTTTAATTAAATTTGTTGTGTAGATTGGATGGGTTTCCACATAATCTTTCAAATGGGAAGAAATCTCTTACATATTTAGGGAGAATTTTTTATTTTAGCATAATCTGATATAAAATGAGCATTATGGTTCTGTGCTCTTAGAGTAATATTTTCCTTGCAGCACCTACACCAATTGTCTTGAATTCAACTAGTATTACACAAATAGGTATAAAAGAGTAGGAATTGTGGGAACCTTGCAATCATAAACCACTTTAATCCCCTCTTCTACATAATAGCTTTTAAAACCTTCACTTGAGAACTCTTCAGCTGAATTTTGAATTTTAACAGTTTATTTTGAAAATACTGTTCAAGCTATATTCATAAACACCCATTGAAAGACATTACATAGAAAGAGTAAAAGTACACTCCACCTATTCACTGGACATACACAGAGTCCAGTTATGCAAACCATGTACATTCAATTGCTGCAACTGCATACAAATCCTGTATTTGCCAATGGAATTTCACTTGCAGTCAGGCCCACCATCGTTCCAATGTATTCCATTTTGATATATTTAGTTCCAGATGGAGTAATTAAGTGCAAAAATTATACTTGTATAGCACTAATATGAATGTATTATAATTGCTGGTGATGAATTTACAATATTAACACCTCTACCCCCCTACAAGACAAAACTCTTCCTCACCAAATCACGTCTATCACTATCCTTTATGGAGTTAATTGTGTAATGACAATGGCATATTTTGATTTAGCTGTAGATGAGTGTTCTTCTGCTTCCTCACTTCAGTGCATGATTTGGTGGATTGAATTCTAAAATAGTGGTCCATAGGCCTTTTTAGAGATTGACCTAAATTGTTCACTCGCTTTAACCTTTCTCCTAACAAGATTGACAAAGTCTTAGACTTCAAGTAGTAATCACCTACCAATTTCATAAATAAAAATTGTTCATAATTTAGGTTTTTGCTCTAGTCTTAGAAATCTTACAAAGATCTATCACTGACTTTCTATCTTAATAGCAAGAAGTATTTAATGTTTTTCATTTACATCAGCTACCTTAAACTTGTACAGTTTTAAGAAGTTGGTAGTGGCTATATGTGCCACTGTAAACACAATAACAGACGAAAATATTGCCAACATGAAAATCAGATAGCCTGTAAACTACTAAATAAAACACATGCAAAAATGGTTTTGTTTTCTAATTGACTTGTAAACACTTCATGAAGATTGCCTTGTAATGTTACATCAGTTCAGCATTTACACTGAAACAGCAAAAAGTTATAAATAGCCATGACACCCAGGCAGAACAAAGCAGTTTAACCAAAGTAGATTTCACAAAATACAACATTATGAATTGCTAATGTTTAAAAACTAAAGAAGGATCAGCCTTACTTAAGATATTTCAAATAGGCTTTTACTATTGCTGTCTTTAGTAATTTTGAGCTAAACTTAACTTGCCTCAAACGGTATAATTTTCTTAAATATTATTTTCTGCAAACTACAACCACTACAGCATGAGTTAAATTCTGCATGGAAGTATAGGAATACTGCACTTGTCTCTAGGTAACTGCTTTGATTACAAAGCAATTCTGGTCCATTACTTCTATGATAAATGTACATTAATGGAATGAATCAGAAATGTAGGATCAGAAGGAACCTTGAGAGGTCCTCAAGTCCAGACCATCCCTGACAGGGTTTGTGTATTCTTAAAATCCTCCAGTGATGGGAATTCCTCAGTCTCCCTTGGAAACCTGTCCCAGTACTTGACTAGTCTTACAGATAGAAAGATTTTCCATATCTTTCTTAGCATGGCACCCAAAATTGGACACAATACTCCAGGTGAGGCCTTACCATTGTCAGGTGGAGCGGAACAACCACCTCCCATGTCTTACATTTGATGCTCCTGTTAATAAACTCCAGAATATTTTCTTTTTTCGCAACTGCATCACATTTTTGGCTCATTTAATTTATGATCCACTAACACCTCAAATCTTTTTCTGCCTAACCAGTTATCCCCCATTTTGTAATTGTGCATTTTATTTTTCCTTCCTAAGTGTAGTACTTTGTATGTCTTTACTGAATTTCATCTTGCTGGTTTCCAACTTATCAAGGTCATTTTGAATTCTAATCCTCTCCTCCAAAGTGGTACTTACGTAGGAAATTATTAATAGCACAGTGTTTCCCAAGTGGTGGGTACTGCTGTATTATTTAGATGAAATAAATGGGCCAAAGGTGTTAACATAACAGTTACTGTCCAGCATTAAATAGTGTTAACAAGGTCTGGGTTTTGGTATATAGAGACCTCTACCTGTTTAGTATCTTTTAATCTTTATTATAGATACAGAAAAGAAGGAAAAACAATTAAAGCTTTTGAAATGTGAAGTATTAAGTGAGGCTTTCAATTAACAGTTGTTGTTCCCTTTCCCTTTAGCTGGAGAGAGTTTTAGAAGGAAAACCCGCTTTGTTTGACTGTTTCTTAAATGGTATCAAAGATGGTAACAATGGTCCTTTTGGGGAAAAGAGAAGAAGTTAGTTGAGATGGGCTGGAGCTGTTGCTGTTAAAGTCTGATCCCATTTCATCTCAGGTGGTGGTTGGGATTAAGATGGAGCTGGTAGAGGTGGCGATGTCATTTGGATCTCTCTCTCTCTGGCTTGTTCTGGTTAGGACATCCCTCAAGACTAGGATGACGAAGACCCATGGTCTGAGGAGATGGTGCGGGGTAGCAGCCATGATGGTGAAGCTTGCTTAAGTAGCCTCTATCTATCTGTTCTTCCATTTTTCCTCCAACTCTTTCCTTTAAGGATCCAAAAAGAGAGTGAGGGATGGAATAGCCCATTCCCTCATTATTTTGTCCACTACTTAGGCCTAATATTTGACACCCCAATTTTGGTTCATTACTTTCCAGTTCCACATCTTTTGTTTTTAACCAAGCATGATTTCAGCATAGTCCATGAATCATATCAACTTGGCCTTTTTATTTGGACTAACTTGGGGTTTTTTTTGTCTGGTTCTATTGCACCTGTTTATAATATTCATGATAGAAAGTAGGTCAGGGTGCTTTCAATAAACATTTGTTGTTGTAGGCTATTGTAACATCTTATGAACTTTCAGATCTTCTTAAATTTACCCTAATTGTGAGCTTAATTATATCAGCCCAATTATTAAACCGTTCCAAGATGGGTCATGCGGTCTGGTGCGGAGGCCTGGGGCCATGGAAAGCAATCCCACCTTGCACTCTCACCCCACAGTGGCAGCTCCTGTCCTGTGGGACTTGGCTGGGCTCCCCACTTTGAGTGTTACGACCTGGTGCATGTGGTCGCAGCACTAATGAGGTTTGGCCCTGAATTTGGACCCTGAGTGGATTGCAAAACAAAAAAAGATAAAATGCAGTTGGTGTGTCACCTAAGTACAAATTTTGGGAACCACTGAGTTACTACATATATTTACACCTTTAGTATATCTTTTCTAATACTAATTTCCATAATTCTTCTGTGAGGTAGGCAAGTATATTATCCCTATGCCAAATTTCAATAATACAAATCATTTATTGTTTCTGATTTGCTGAGTTGTGTTGTTTTTGTGAGTAATTAAAAGTTTGTATATTCTTCTAAGTCTTTGCTTCCTCTTAATTCAGTGATGCCACAGTGTAGCATTCATGACATAAGTTTGCAGAAGTAGTAGAAAATAACAGTTTAATTCTGATAAGTTACACAGTGTAAAACCTTCCTTGAGTGTAGCAATGTCATCGAATGATGAAGTCGAGTTAATTTTAGTCCTGATTTGAACTTTAAATTATTGTTCTTCTTTTAAGGAAAAGACACAGTAAAAAGCTTGTTAGAAGTATTTCATTAAAATGATAAATAACCCATCCAGGTAGCAAACTTCCATTCATTCCCCAAAGAGCATAAAAATATCTGTCTAAACCTTCTGTTTAATAAATATTTTGGCAGGTAATCACTAACTTGTCCCATGCGATAGACAAGCAAAAGGAGAGGATAGAGCTAATGAAAAAATTTACACGGTGGCGGATTCAGCACGTGGAGGCCAGACAAGAGGTATGTGTGGAAAACAGAAGATGTGATAGTAGATAAGCCTCTGAACTGAAAAGGGTTAGAGTTACTACAGCTCTTGTTACAATCAAAAGAAATGACAACTTTTCTATTTTGATGTATGTGACAAAATATTGAACAAGTTCAAGAGCATCAATTCAAAAGAGAACATTACACTGTACTTACAGAAATAATTATGGTAGGGCAAGTGAATCAAAATTATGCTCTTTTTTATCACTAATTAGAAGGATATGCTGATAGCTGATCAGTGTCAATTACCACCTATATTAGTAAGGATGACATCTTCCCAATGTCTGCAGCAGCATGAATAAAAGTGTTCATTCTAAAATCCTGTCACAGAAGCCATTGCTTTTATGTGAAATGTGAAAAATACATTACTTATCACCATTTGATTTTGGTGCTGGTTTTGCAATTAAGGTCTGTGGTGTTGTCCTCCCCTCCCCTATATTTTGTGTCTCCACACTTCTTCCTCAGCCCTAAAACATCTGTCAGCCGCACTCACACAGATCTTGGAAGTTCTGATAGTCAGCTAACTAAACCTACTAACCAATTACTGATGTGAAAGATGAAGGGCCCCACTGTCCAGGGTCGATTCCCAAACCCCTCTTACCCCAGGCTGTCAGTAAGGACTTTCTGGGCTCCGTTTTTCATTAAGGTTTTGGATGGTGTCTGAGAAGTCTGAAGCTCCTCATCACACAAAACCCCTCTGGCTGCTGGAAGGGAGGAGCATTTTCTCTCTCCTCCCTTCCCACCTAGAGTTTGCTGGTAGCTGTGAGGCTGGTGTGGACATCTTTTGGCTACTCAGCCCTTCTTCAGCTTGTTCCTTTTGTTTTAATCTCACTGATGGACTGGATAAGTGGATCTACTGTTACCATTTTAGAAAATATTTTGAGTGTCGGATACTTGAAAATATAATTTGATTTTTTTTTTAAAAGGTACAAATCTTTTAAGCATTCAAAGGGTGCTGTGTGTGTGTGTGTGTGTGTGTATGAATTTTATTTATATATAAAATAAATAAAAACTCGATTTAAAAAATATCTGGTATATGTGACTCTCCAGCTACCATTGTGAGCGCAAATGCTATGTGGTTCCTGCAATAACTCCATACAAGTGCCTTGCACTTCTAAAATGGCAGCAGTATGTGTGGTGGTGTGTCAGCTAAAGTATATTTAAACAGAAAGTATAAACTACAATATTTCATATAATCTGTTATGCTGTAATCCATTTAATGTTACAAAACAATTGACTATATTCTCTTTAATGATCATAGTGCTCATTAAAGAAATAGGAAACATATAATTTGGTAATATTTTACTATTTAAGGCATATGCAAATAGACTGGCGGACAGACAGTTCCAGATAGCTTTGATGAAGAGGGTTTGGGCAGCTTGGCGCTCTCTTAGTGAAGCAAGATGGAAAGAGAAAGTAGCAAAAGCCTGTCAGTTAAGGGCTGAGGAAGTCTGTGTTCAGCTTTCCAAGGATTATGAAGCTAAAATTGCGGAGGTAAGGTTTTTGTTTTTTTTTTAAGTGCCTCTTACTAAACAAACTTTTAAATAAATGCATTGCTTTTCTTCAGAGTGCCAGGAAACCTTTCCCAATTGCAGGACTGGGAATCAGGAGATCTGGGTTATGTAGGTAGCTCTGCTATAGATTCCAACTTTCTAGGCCTGAGTCACCTGTCACTTAAGCTAGTTGTATACCAATATAAGTGAAGTTACTCAACACTTTTATGCCAGAGAGGAAAATAAGAACCTATGTTTGAAATTAGATGAGTCACTTAACTTTTATCTGTTGGCTCCTTTTGTCTGCCCGCAAAAAGGGGATGACACACACCTACTTAACAGTGGTATTTGTAAATCTTAATTCATTAATGTTTGTAAAGTCTTTCGGAGCCTCTCATGGAAGGTCCTGTAGAAATGCAAGATTATGATTGTGAATGAGCAAGTCTATCATATTGTATAAACAGAAATCTTTGTATAATAACTGCTTTTCTGTTAAAAGTTGATAAAAGCTGATATTTTCCCTACAACTCTCAACTTCATCCTAATGAAGATGTGTGAAAATTTAAGCTAAGGTAGCCATCACACATCAGACCACTGTGATATTACTTTTCAAGATTGTTACAATTTAAAGGAATTAAAAAGCACAGTCAGAGGACTTGTGCTCCTAAGACACTTAGGTGCTTTTGAAAATCCTGCCTGAAAACACAGTTAATTTTGAAAATGTAATTTAAGGAAAAATATCAGAATCCCTTGCTTTGTGAATGTCTAACTTAATCTGTCCTTAACCAACAAACACGAGGTCTGTGTTGGTTAAGGACAGATTAAGTTACAACCATTTGTAAAAACGATAGATGTATTTGTGGATGCAGTTAAGGAAGTTCATGGAAGTATGGCCTTTCATGCTAACAAGAATAACAGCTGGAGTTACATTACAGGAGCAAAGATAAAATTATAAGATACAGTTAGAGTGATCTCTAGGTAGGGTCAGGAAGAAGTGTTTGCTGTGTTTTCCCCCTGCCACACCACAATATTGTATAGCACAGTTAAATGATTACAAGGATTTGACCTGGAAGTTCCTGGTTTTAATCCTGGTTGGGACAGAATACTGGACTGCACAGACTGTTAGTCTGTTTGGGTATGGTAGCGCCTGTGGTTTCCATCCTTGCCATGTATGCACTCTAGTCTGAGGTATCCAAAGAATTGTTTGAAAGATCTATATTTAATCTTATTTCTAAAACAACGAAGACATGGAGGGAAAATATTACACTGAGAAATTAGTAAAGTGGCTTTTTAAAGCTGAATGAATAAGATGGTGGTTTTGTGTATTCACAGGTGTATCAAAATAATTCTTTGTTTTTTATCTCTTTACTGTAGTTAAATGTTGCCCTGGAAGAGGCAAAAGCTGATATCCTGAGACTGCATAGTGAAAGGGAACAGTATGAAGGCACCATGAAAAAAGCCTTTATGCGTGGTGTGTGTGCACTGAATCTAGAAGCAATGACCATGTTTCAGGGCAAAGAAAGTAGGACAGACCATGGTTAGTATTAAAAGTTAAAGTAAAAATATATCACTGCATGGCCTTGCTCGCAGTGCCATTTGGATTAGTTTACTCTTTATTTTTAATTTGGGGATTTAAATAGGAGTAGACAACACCAAACTTATCATGGAATCAGCTTTGTTACATGCTTAAAAAATGCACTGAATACGTAAATAAGCTGTCTACTGGAGAGGTGTAAGTAACAAATACCCCTGTGGCTGGCTGATTCTTCAGCAAAATATTGCAGGCTTTGAAAAGACAGCAAGTCTGTAGTGATCATTTGGGGGATATATGCTCTCCATCCAGCTCTTTCCCCCCCTTCTAATCTTACTCATTTGTGCTTCAGGGTGCTAAAGTCTTAGACATGTAGTGTCACTTATAGAAGCTAATAATTATTAATTTTTATTTTTGATCATCCAAAAGTGTGCTAGGTACCTTCGTAGAAATTAGCAAAGTCCATGCACCAAACAGTTTATACAGTAGTCTAAATGGAGATGTGATGCAATAAATTAGGAAAAGAAGAAAAGAGCAGGGTGGTAGAATATGATTTCTGCCTCATATACCACCTGATCTTAGGTGTATGTAGTGCATAGTAATACCCACTATACTAGGTTTTCAGAATCTCAGGGAACTAATTAGAGATTACCGTGTAGTGGGTGGTCTATATTGGTACAAAAATAGTCTATACTTATGTTCGATTTTTTTTTTCTTTATTTTTAAAGCACAGTTTAAGTAACTGATTACTCCGAATGAACACTAATTGGAACCGCAGACATTTAAGTCTTTTTAAAATCTTCTTAGCTGGGTTATATTTTAACAAAGTTGTTTTTTTGCAGTTGCGGAACTTGAGAATAAAAGTTTAAGGGCCATGCTAGGTACTTCAACTTTTATCTTTGTTCCAGAACAGTAGAAAGGGACTATCTCTTGAACACTTACTTGACTATAACACTTCTCTTCTCCTTCTATTCAGCAAGCAATTTTTTTACCTATTGGAGCATCACCTTTCCACCACTGACTGTCTTCATTACCTTCACAGCTGTAAACAGAATTCTTGTAATAGAGTTTAACTTGGGATCCCAACTTGGACTGCTGCTTCTGCAGCAACAGAACCAAGAAAATGTTGGGGCTATTCATACTCAAACTGTGTGTATTAATTAGTTAGCAACAGAGTAGTGGATTTAATTAAAAAAACAAAAAACCTAAATATGTGAAGCTAGAGAACATTCCCTGCTAAAATAAGGGCTTGCCTACATGGTACAGCAATGTGCACTTTGGGGGGGAAGGAGGGGGAGATGAATTTTTAAAGTGACTAACGTGTTGTCCACTAATTGGTACGTGTAGACCTTGCTGGTGCACACTAAAAGTTCCTTAGTGGGGTTTAATGTAGTACTAAAAAAAATGCTACTACATTAAAATGCATTAATGAACTTTTAGTGCACACCAGCAGGGTCTTAGTGTTTGTTTTTAACGTAGCAGCATTTTTTAAATTATTATTATTATTATTATTATTTTTTAGTACTAAGTTAAAGCGCACTGGAAAACCTTTGGTGTGCACCAGCAGAATCTACAGGGACCAATCAGTGACAATTGTGTAGACAAGCCCTAGGTTTAGAATTTGGAGCCTTAAACTACTTCACATTCTTTTAAATATCTGAGATAATAGTAGGGCATCTCTAATCCACAATTCCCCAAAAGGAAAGAAAAAAATTACTTGCTCTCACTTCCCAGCGTTAATGCTTCATGCTCTTACACTTGAATGTACTCTTTATTTACTATTCTCATGATTAAAACCAAATTAATTGTCACAAATGACGAAACTAAACTTCTGTGATGCATTAACATTTGTTTGTTTACTTCTTGTTTTACAAAATTTTGTAGTTCAGTGGGTCTTTGAGTCATTAGTGAGAGGGTATTTACAAATTTACATACCTGTGAGATAGAGAGAGAATTTCTCTAAAGCTATAGCAGGAGGCCAAGCAGGAAAGGGCTGGAGAAGGTTCTAGGCAGAAGTTCTATAGTGAAGCAGGGAGTGGCAGAATAGCATTAGGGATCACCATACTCCTTTAGGAGGGCAGACAGATGATAACAGTGTCCCTTCTGGCTTTATAATCTATGAATTTGAAAGCTTCAAAGACGGTAAGCCAAAAATCAGTGATCAGTTATTTATGCACAACTCCCGTTTGAAGACAAGTATCAGCTGTGGAAATGACTTTTAAAATGTTTAATTTAAACTCCTCCTCTTCCCCTTGCCATGGATGTATGGCACTCAGGTCTGCTGGAGATAAGTCTAAGAATCATCCAAGTTTTATACTTTCGCTCTATATATTTGAAGAAAAAGAAACCAAAGCATCTGAACTCATGCATGTCATTACAAAAAACACTTCTTAGATTATTTTTGTAACTAGTATACACTCGTCCTATGGTCATACATTGGCCCTTTCCTATCTTAAACTAAAAGCAAAAAGTAATCCTTGTATATTTTCATTCCTTCTTCTGACATCAGTAGTGATTATTGTATTAACAGAAATGTCCTGCTTATTGACTTGTTTTTCCTAGAAAAATATATATTTAAATTAACGCATCATAAAAGCAAATATTATTAAATGAATACATAAGCAGAAGATTAAAGTAGTAATGTTAGGTTGTTTCAAAACTTGGAGTGATGGAAATTTAACTGCCACATGGAGTCACTGTTGTCTATGGAATGATCAAAATCTCTATCCTAGCACTACCAATAGTGAGAGTTTCAGTTTTGTGAATCTGCTTTTAGAGAGGGCAAGGAAGTCAATAAATAAAAAACATATTCCTGCTTGCTGTATTAAAGAAACTGTGTGTTCTGAAAGAAAAGAACAAAACCTGTTTGGAAAAGGTACTGGACTCAGTTCTCCCTGACCTCTGCTTTGTGCAGTGTTGGGAGCTGGTTATGGCTCCCTGAATCTGTAGCAGGCCAATTCTCATGTGAGTTAGGGACACTGCATCCGTAGGGTAAGTAACTAAGTGATCTTACACCACTGCAACAGGGCTCCAACATGCCACCTCCTTTCGTTGCCATGCTCCCTACACCAAGGTTGGGGTGGGATACCTAATATAGGAGCCCCTCTGCCTAGGGAATTCTCCATTGGCAAGTCATGTCCAGAATCCTACCTATTTGCATCACCTGACCAGCACCAAGAGGTTGGGGTGTAACAGAGGATCTGGCCTATGGTATTTGCAAGCTTCTGAGAGAGGGATTTAAATACAGGAGAGCTAAATAAAACCCTATGTAATAGACTGATCCTTCTAATAAGATTATACACAAATCCCAAAGGAACAGAAAGGTTTTACTGTGACTCATCTTCTCTCCTTAAGGCTTGCTAGTGTTCATTGGGTTTACCAGGTTCTGTGCTGATTGCTTTAATCTGTGTTTCTAATAATAGATCCAGTAAATAGGAGAGAAGATCCTGGAACTAATGCCACTGGAAGGCTCCCTCCTTCCCAATTTGATCCTCCGTCACCACCACCTCCAGCAGCAGCCACTGTTCCACAAGAGGAAATTGTAAGTATTCTAGCAGGAATAGAATTAAAAAATGTGGTATTAGAAAAAGTTCATTCATTAAGCTATTTAGGCATCAGGTTTTTTTCATTGAACAAACTGAATAACTCATGCATTGAGAGAACTTTCAGTAATATTTTTGCACTTGGATAATTTACAAATAGCTTCTTTTTAAAATGTCAGAACTCGGTTACTTTGGAGACATAAATACTTAGATATAGCAGGATGTACTCTAGTATAAAACACTATATACACGTAGTTGTTGGGTTATGGTTGCCATGTTGTGGGGGGGTTTTTTTTCCCCCCAGAAAGTTCTAATTTTGTAAGTAGAAAATTTGCAAGCTAGTTACATAGGACAAAGAAGGTCACAATCTTAAGCAGAATCTGCTTTTCAAGGTACCTTTTTGGAAAACAGTTGCTGAGACTTGTTTGGAAAAAATATCTGAACTTGATTTAGTTTGAGAAAATAGAATTTTACATTAACTGAAAGGTCAATTTTCAGAAATGTATTTTTACAAGGGATAGTGCCAACTTGGAATCTAGTCACTTTCAAAACCTGAGTTAAAAATAGTTTCAGGTACTACATCTGTCCTTAGATCCCACTGAGAATTTGTGGTGATTACAATTAAATATTTCCATTTTATTAAAGACCCGCCCAAGCAGGGGAAATAGTGAAATGGACTACACACAAAATAACCAAACTGAAAAAATGTCAACATTTTTTCCTTCTGATCTTTGTTACAGAATCTTGGATATTACTCAGATCTCTATAGGTACCCAACTTTCTGACAACGTGGTGGTTTTTAAGTTGACTGTAAAAAGCAACAGAGGGTCCTGTGGCACCTTTAAGACTAACAGAAGTATTGGGATCATAAGCTTTCGTGGGTAAGAACCTCACTTCTTCAGATGCAAGTCTGAAGAAAGCTTATGCTCCCAATACTTCTGTTAGTCTTAAAGGTGCCACAGGACCCTCTGTTGCTTTTTACAGATTCAGACTAACACGGCCACCCCTCTGATACTTTAAGTTGACTGTGACTCTATTTAGCTTTGAGTATAGAATCTGTAAAGAATAAAATTCAGCAGCTAATTGAAGTGTCAGACTAATCAAATAATAAAACTGCATTTTCAGTAAAGAATTAAGTATGATCCAAACTACAATTCATTCCTATATAAAACGCTTTGATTTATTTACAGTTTTCATCCCATCTGGGCCACGCAAGTACTTCTCAGACCAGATTAGAATCAAATTCTCCAGTAATAGTCGCTAGTGCAGCTGTAGGATCTGGCATTACATCAGCTCAAAAACTGGTAACAAACTAGAATTGATTGATTTAATATTTGAAATCATTGTAGCTATTAAAGTCTGTCTTGGATCCTTTCTTACTGTGAGAATTTGGGGTAACATACAGAAGTATGAAGTAGAGGCGTTTGTCCAAGAGTTTAAGTAAAGGCCTGGAGAGAAACTTGAAAATGCATCAGTTCATTTTAAATGGATTATTTGTTGTATATTAAATGAAGTTAAAAATGGGGAAGGCTTTTAGGAAAAGGAATGTGTGGTGTTAGGAAATATCATCCCCATTTTATGAGAGGAGAAGTTTGTGCAAAATTGTATACAGCACATCATGAGCAATTAACATTTCAACAGCTGAAAGGTTGGGTTGGGTTTTTTAAACAAATCTGCCTCGCTTTTAGCTTACTAGTTGAAATCTGTTCCTTGTTCCCTCCTCTGCTCTTGCATTTAACCTACTCCTTTTTGTTTCTCTTCCTCCTCCATCTTCTTTTTTGCTAAGCTCATACCTATCTGGCAGTTTGCTGTCAGTACTTCTCTGGGGAAGGATAAAAGATTGAAAAATTGCAGTGCCTCAGTTTCATTATGTGTAACCTTTTTTGTGCCTGGTATATTATTGATTCAAGGACCCTGCTGGGCTGATGTGGGTACCTACAGCTGTCACTAGTTTGCAGCCAGAAAGCGAAGCTACAATTGTTCCACACTGCTAGATTTGTCGAAATAGCTGACAGAGGGCCCTTTCATGATCGAGGTTTGCTGTGCTTCAGCACAATATTCATTAACCACATCACAGTACTTACTATTATCATGATAACTGTAGTATTGCCTTTATTTAGAATGGGAAATAACATGGTAAATGTAACTGCAGGTAATAAATACCTAATTTTTAATTGTGCCCACTGTATGGAATCTTTCTATACCATTATGGACTCTAGTTTACCTACAGTACCCATAAGTTCTATTCATATGTGTAGCTAATAAAGCAAAGCAGTTGCCTGGTTGCATTGTACATACTGTGTGTAGGCATCTCTACTAATGTGTCTTGTTTATTTGTAGCCTATGGCAAGAGTAGTGACATCTGCTCAGCAGAAGGCAGGAAGAACAATCACTGCTCGAATCACAGGCCGATCTGATTTGGGACAAAAGAACAGAATTTGTAGTAGTTTAGCTGTAATGGGAGTCTCACCACCCATGAGTTCAGTCATTGTAGAAAAGCATCATCCAGTCACTCAAGTAAGTCCAACTGATATTAGGGTAATAACTGTCTTGTTACACCATGTCTACTAGTAGTTTGAGACCCCTCCCTGATGAGCTTTTATCTTTCTGTTTTAACAGATACGTGTGAGCGCTATTAGAGTAAATAAGCAGTATTTTTTTTCTGTTGGGTGTGTGTTCTAGCAACAAAGATTCACGTCAAAATGATGAGGGCTGGAAATGAATAATCCCACTTAAACTCTACCCCTATTTGCCTGTTCCGATTGTAATAATTTTTCTGATAGGTTTTGAAGCTTTTGTTGGTTCATTGTACATCTACTGCTGCCAGTGCCCTCTGCACAACTGAGGTTAAATAGCTTTTTGGAAGCAATACTTCCTCAGTCATTGTGGAGCTAGAACTTGTGTATGAACTTGATTTAATGAGTGAGAAATGTGGCTGGGCCAAAAGCAGTAGTGACAGGATGGACTGACAAGCTTAGAGCATGTATCACTTTTTTTAATGTCATGCCCCTAGCCAAACAACTGTGTGGATGGCAACAAAGCCGCCCCGCTTTTTGCTGTACTTGATTCTTACTACCTCCTTCCCCACCACGCACACATCCCTTTCCTATGCAGTATATTGCAGTGATGGTGAATTGAATGACTATAGTAATAGAATACTGGATAGCCAATATACACCAAGGAAAAAGGGTTTTGAGCAGTGGCTTTATTAGCATAAAAAGATCAATCGAAGTCATTTGTCCAGCGTAATAGGCTGACCACCATCAGAGCAAGAGCCTTTGATCACTTTGATGTATATGAAGGAGAAATCTGGCTGAAGATGTTAGCTTTAACCTGTGAAGTCCTAAGTGGTTTGGGTCTGGTTACATGAAAGATCACCTGCCTCCTGGGGTGATGTACTTGAGCTTCCTTGATATAAGCAGCTGTGGTTGCCAACAAAACACTTCCTCAACTCTGCATTGGTTTTCCAGCTCCTTTGGCCCACCAGAGCCTGGATTTAACCTTCTAGCATGTGGCAAGACCTTTTCCATGGGCTTTTGGAAAAGATACAAGTTATTAAGCAGTGGTGGTCTATGCCGTGGGGCTCCAGAGGTGTGCTGTTTGCTTTATTTTTCTGAAGGCGAGGACTGGATGCAGAGTGTATGACTAGACAGACACTTGAACTATTAGACTAATTTTTGTAGATGTGTTAAATATGAGCTGGCTGGAGCTTGGAAAAGGAATTTTAAGAGGCAGGGGAAGAGAGCAAATTTGGAAGGCATGTGCACCCTCTGTTCAGTCTCAAACTAGAAAAGGAAACAACTAGCCCCCCCCTTGAAGCTCTCTGAACCAGGGGATGTTTCAGGCCTCTGTCCCGTATACCTTACCACTTGTCATGTACATTTGGCAATAAATACATAACGCAGCATCAGCTGTAGTGAAGTGCTTTGCTGATTGAATTAATCTTTGGCAAGGGAAAGATTCTGGCTGGAGAGTCATTAGTGTGATTAAAAAGAGAATGACCATAGTTACTGCAACAGGGAGGCCATCTGCCTGGTAACAAAACAGCCTTAAGCCTTGTGAGGAAACTCCTGTTATGGAAATGCAATTGTCTTCTTACCTAAGGGTAACTGACATCTCAGTATTTCCTTAGGAGGAAGCCATCTTGATTTATTCCGAATCTATCCTAACTTTAAAGGAATGTTGCAGTAACTAAATAGGACCACAACAGAATAACTTAACCAAGGGTCTTGAATTAAACAGGCTGATCTTTTTCTAAGCTAATTACAGAAGCTTAGCACTGTTGTCTGCACTGTTTATTAAAAGCCATCTACACAAATAAGAGAACTTTTTTTATTTTGAAAAGAGTTAAAGCATAGATGGTGATGAATGGCTAAGAGAAAGGGAGGTCAGTGACCCGTATTACTCTCTATCCATCACTGGTTGTTTCTTCTCAGTTTTAGGTTCAGGTTTACTGCATTCCAGCTAACTTAATAGGGAATTCAGTTTCTAGGAGTATTTTTTTAAATGTTCATAGATGTATCTTGTTTTATTTTTCAGCAAACTATATCCCAAGCCACTGCTGCTAAATACCCTCGAACTGTGCACCATGCTTCTAGTGCCACCAGTGTGAGACCTCCTGGACACGGTGGACGAACACCTCATAGCCAGTCTCATACTAACATTCAGTCAATAAAAGTTGTGGACTAAGGAATATTTTGAAATGCTTGAATTTTTCCTTCCAGGTGGAGAGTTTTACCAAGTTGCAGAGTAAAGCTCTTCCCAATGTTTCCAGACTGATGTAGCAAGGCTCAAGGATACATCATGTTTTTACCTTTTAAAAATCAAATTGTAGACCTACTCAAATGTTGTGAGGGGCGGGAAAAATAGCAATTTGACTTTACAATGTAGTTCTCTGTAAGTGCAAGCTATGTCTATTTGAGAAAACCTATTTTATTACATGTATACTTTATTTAAGGAAGCTGTTGAATACGGTTTTTAATAAAGGATCAAAATAGATGTTTGTCCAGGGTCTTTTATATAAAATGTTAATTACATGTAGATTTAAGTTTAAAAAAAAAAAAACAATTAGATTCAGTCATATAATGAAAGACTTAAGATTCTTTGTAGTACCGTAACATTTGAAATTAGGTGGATGGATTAATGCTAGGGAAAGAGTATGAAGGTAACTTTTTAGCAAACAGAGATCCAAGATCTTACAAGGAAAAAAATTATTCAACATAGCAGCCTCCTAGCTGTTTCCATAATCAGTATTGGGGTTCTTTCCATTTTTAAGACCAAACCTCTCCCGGGTGGGGGATAGCTCAGTGGTTTGAGCATTGGCCTGCTAAACCCAGGGTTGTGAGTTCAATCCTTGAGGGGGCAAAATCAATACTTGGTCCTGCTAGTGAAGGCAGGGGGGCTGGACTCAATGACCTTTCTAGGTCCCTTCCAGTTCTAGGAGATAGGATATCTCCATTAATTCAATTTAAGCTCATGTTACAACACAGTCATTATTGGTCTAATGTATTAGTGAAAGGGAACCTGGTCCTACTCTCTTACACAGGTGCAATGCCCAAGACTGCAGAATGCTGTTAATTCAGAATTTGTTTTATTGCCACCTTTACCAAAGCTACAGTTACACTTGTTGGAGATTTTTTTTTTTCCAGATGAGTACAACTAGAAAAGAATGTTTCAATTTTGTCATTAGAATTTAATATATGAAAAAATTACCAGATGAACAGATACTTTAAATGAACAAGTCAAGCATCTTCTGCAGAACCAAATGTCACTCACAACAAACGTTCAGTGCTCTCATTATAGAGAGAGGCTACCATCACGTATTACAGTAAAATATTCATTTCCAAATAACAAAGCTGCTTTTTTTAGAAAAAGGAACAGTTCAGTTGCATCCATTAGCTGTTTTCGATTTACAGCAAGAGTGAGTAATCAGTATATAGTGTTACATGTCCTTTTGTTGGATAAGTTTATTCCTAACATGAGGCACCTGCCCATGTTTTATTGAAGTTGTATCTTGTATTTTTGTCCTGTATAATCAAAAAAAGTTTAAGAATAAACATCCACCCAAATCATGTCATTAAACAAGACAAAGCCAGTCAAAACAGGAAAGTGTCTCTCTTTGCAATTTACTTTAAAATGAGCTAAACCTCAAATTAGGCTGGATGCTGGCCTATTTCTGGAGAAGGTATTGATTATTTATCCACATAATCCTCACTTATGAAATACAAGTGATTTGCTTTCTAGCTGACAAGAACTACATTCAGTATCAAGCACAAATTGGTTTAACTGCAGTTCCAATATGGAATTAGTGTAAGTCACATACAAAAACATTGTAGCATGTTCTCTCATTTGGCAGGATAGTCACAAATTACTGAGAGTGGCCACTACAATTACATGAACGTTAATTTTAATTTAATGTTTTATGGCAGTGTAATTTCTCTCAAAGGTGAAATGTCAGAAAAAGGCAGAGTATGGAACTAACCAAATTAATAACTCAGGTATAGAAGTTTGTGTTGTACCACTAATAACCTGTAAATCGAGCTTTGAAAAACTTCATAGGTGGTGAGCTACATTTTGCAAATACAGTAGAACCTCAGAGTTATGAACTGACCACTCAACCACACACCTCATTTGGAACCGGCAATAGAGAATCAGGCAGGAACAGAGACGGGGGGGGAAAAAGCAAGTACAGTACTATGTTAAATGTGTAAACTACTAAAAAATAAAGGGAAAACAGTATTTTTCTTCTGCACAGTAAAGTTTCAAAGCTCTATTAAGTCAATGTTTAATTGTAAACATTTGAAAGAACAACCAGAATGTTTTGTTCAGAATTGCAAACATTTCAGAGTTACAAACACAAACAACCTCCATTCCCAAGGTAACTCTGAGGTTCTATTGTAAGATCTTTTCTGGAAAGAGTATTTACAAATGACTTTCCATCTGGAACATAGTCCATAGCCTATGACAGCTTCTGTTAAAAAGTTCATGAAACTGCACATTTCCTCGAATCCATCTCACTGCTCGTTTCAGCTCTGATTTTTTCTGTAAAGAAAGAAGGAAAAATGCTCTTAATAGACAGGCATTGCTCCTTCCCAGGTCTACAGTTAGACAGTTTTGCCCATGTCAGGCATGCCACTACAATTGTAACTGGTGTGTTTGTAAAATAAGTCTGTCCATCCTCCCACCTCCAAAGCCCAAAGTAATTTTAATGGTTTCTTCTGCCCAGTCAAGCCAAAAATCCCCATAACTACAGATCTAGTAAGGAGCCTTGTTCTTTTACAGGACTGCACTTATGGAGCATCTCCCCCACATAGCTTTGTCTTGCATATTAAACAATAGCTTACCAGCTACTTGTTGAAATCCTACATGCACCAGATCTTCATATATATGTTTGACTGGATTCTGGTGAGCCAGCAATATACCATGTAACCAGATGAGCAACATTCGGTGTCCATGTTCCTTATAGCTTTTTTTCCCTATGCAATATACAACATACATGTCTGTGTCATATGCTTGGAGTAAAATACCCTGATGTCCCAGCTGCTTTTGTAAAAGCTCCCAGGTTGTACGGCATTCCTCCAACTCTACTCATGCACTCATTTCCTTTCTGCCCTATACGCAAGATGGAAACTAAGACTTCCCAAGGTGAAAGACTAGTTTTCACTCTAAAGCAAATGGAAAAATCAAGGTTAATGGTTCTTAAAATAAATTTATTCCTTTAACTTGTTTTAATGTATGAAAATACAGCGTGGTGTACTAGCAAAGAATGCAGTATGTGCTGCCGAAATCGAACTGTCAACACTATATGGTTCTTTCCTAAAAAATATGGAGATATTGCCAACATTCCCCGAGCATTCTGAAGCAGGTGCATGAGTGAGGTCTCACAGAATGTGTTAACATGAAATTTATTTAATTCACAATTAAAGTTAATTTAAAAAAATCAGATAAAATATCATGAATTTGATTTGAGTGAAATGTCCCTATTTGACCAAGGAAATCATGTGTAGCTGTGAACCCATGTCAAAAACCAGGTCAGAGTTGACTATAACTCCCAGCAGCCATGTCTTCACCTAAGCTATTTATATACTACTGTACCTGATCAGTGTATTTCATTACCTGTCCACTGTTCTTCAATAGCTTTAATTTGCTCCTCTGTAAACTTCCAGAACAGGGCCAGCTTTTTCCATTCTTGGGGTTTTAACTGATTGTAAGCCAGATTCCAGAGGCAGGAACGGATTTGCTTAGTCTGTGCACTGTGATCCTGTTTGAAGGATAGAATAAAATCTGGTGCATCAACTTGGTTTTCTAGATGTTCCTAGAAAGAAAACAAAGGTGTTAAATAAGCTGCACAAATTTTAACTACAGGTTCAGAAACAATAGTGAACATTTGTACTTGACTACTCTGGCAGTTAAACTACGTTCAGCTGTGTACTTTGACATCCATTGTCAGCAACAGGTAATTTTCTTAGTATAGACAAAATAAAGAGTAGCCTGTTATCATAGTTTGGCTAGCAGAGCTCTGGGGGGTGGCAGATCCCTTTTCCTCACTGCTTAGGGCAACTGCTACTAATCTCAAAACACGGCTGAGCAAAATTAACTGTAGAGCGGACAGGACCTAAGGCCTGTTGTTGTATGAGTTAAAATGTAATATATTAAGATACTTGTAAAATTAAATGCTACTTTCACCAGCAATCTTGCTATAGATTTACTATTAATATGCTTTTGTAGGTGGGTCCTGTCTATGCTACAAAAATGATAATTTTTAAACATAATTGTGACTAAGCCACATAAGATGTTTTCTCTTGCCTCTGTGGACAGAAAAACAAGTTTAAGCCATGTTTTATGGTCTGTCTACATTAGGCTTTTTTGTCAAGTTTCCCACCATTGCTACCACTGGCTCAACTTCCTTAGTGAGGGCACTAGTGTAGACAATGCGCTGGTTGCTGGCAAGTTAACCATAGCAATGTGTAGACTGTCTCTCAGCGTTAGATGACATGGTTAGAAGTAGAACACAGTGGACCCTTGGAGCCCTTACTGCATTGAGGCTCTTACTAATGGAGCAGCACCAGCAGGAAATCTTGGAAGGGTGGGGGGGAAAATAAGGGAGTTTTGTCATTGACATCAAAAGGCCAGAATTGAACTTCTATTGCAGACATCCAATAAGGCCCCAGTTCAGCAAAGCATCTAAGCCTGTGAATTCAATGGGACTAAAGTATGTGCTTAACTCTGCTCATAATGGAGTGGGATGAATATTTTAAACCCCAGAACAGTGTGCCAGGAGAATAAGATATTAGCTGTCTAAAGCATCCAAAGTATGGCTTAGGGTTGTAGGACATTTTAATTTAATAAAAGTGCTACTCTAAAATTATGGTTCAAAATATAGTTAAAATATTGTAACACCACCACTTGTTTATTTCCTAGCAGCTTATGTTCCATACTAGTAATATTTTTGCTACTCCAACGCCCTTGCCCATCTGTACTGAGATACTTGGCTACAGCTAATGTGGTAGAAGCACTATGGTTTTATTTCCTAACATCTGTTCAACTGTTTCACAGAAACACCTGCTTAAACATCTTTTCTTTTCCTCAGACAGTTAAGTAAATGTATCGAAAGGAGTGTTCTTTAGTGCTATCTCAGTTGTCATATTTTCTCCAGGAATGAATAGCTTGACCTCTAATTCCCTTTTAAGCTGAAAGGAATAATAATGTACCTGACAACGATTCCAGCTGAACCAAACCCAATCAGACACACACAAGCTGTGTAGGCCGTGGACTTGTTATCCCCAAGAACTCTGCTTTACCTGCACTTGTTCCCTGCAGCATTAATTATCAGGAAGTATGAAGGAATGACAAGTAATTTATTTGTGTAATAGCTTAGCAATGATAGGCAGAGGTAAAGCAGAGAAAAGATTGCAGAGTTACACCCTGAAGTGTAACAAAGAGGCAGGCAACTGAATTTCTTTCTCAGTCTATTTATATTTCCAAGGAACTAGTAAGAA